TTGCTTATTACTAAGGCTAAGCCTTGATGATATCATCACCATCACTCCAGCATTTGCAATTGCCTCATAATGTAGCACTAGTCATTTGGGCACCTAACCAGTTCCATTTTACATTGCACAGTTTCATCCTAGTGGGCGGATGAGAATAAAGAAGGGTGGGTTTTTGTTTTTGAAAAAAAATATTATTTAAAACCATGATTAGACAGCTTGTAGAAGACCAAAAAAACTAATGAAAAGCCTGATAGGTCATCCAATACAAGCAATGGAAATATGCAAATTCATAATTATATTTTATTTAACATTCAATATTTCCTTCACAAAAAAGTTTTGTTCTGTTTTGTACCTAAGAAATGGGTGCAGTTCTCCCAAGAGCTTTCTGTTTTTAGTCCATTTCACAATATTAATTTTTACATTAGTGTGCCTCCATTATTCTGTTGAGGAAAGAGCTTGTGACAAATACCTTTGCAGTAGGCTTCAATTATAACAAGAAGTTTCTTTCCATCATTGCATATTTGACTTTGCTAATCAATAGCAGCAAATGGCCATACATTACTGCATTCTGTTATCTTTTTAATAAATCATAACTAACTGCAAACACTTCAGCTGTTTGCATGACAGCTCATTCACATGTAGCAATATGCTTTGCTCCTCCCTGGTACAAGTGGGAATGAGAAGCATAGAAACCATGGCTTATTGCATTTGAACCTTGGATCATGTGTTTGCTCGAGAACAAACCAGTATCAGCAAGCTAAGATCAAGCCACAACTTCATGGTCGTGGTTGGTTTGGGAGAAACAAACCATGTTTGTGGGTTAATGACAAGCCCGTATGGCTTGTTGCTTTCAGTTAAACCATGGCTTGCTATTAATCCACATAAACTGGGTCATTGTGAGCTATTTTTTATTATATCTCTATTAAGTTAACCAGAAAATTGCAGACATTATATTCATTTGTACTGGTGTGTAATACCAATGAAACACCTAATTAGTAAATACAAAAACAAAACACTTGAAAAGCTACATCCAAAGCGTAATGGACCCCTTATACTAGGGCTGCAATACATCTGGATTTTCCCGGACATTAATGGGATTTCAGAGGCGGATTTTACACCCAGAGGGAATTTCCGAAAGGCGGCGCTTTGTCCTGGATCTTAGACAAGTCAGTCAAAAAATCATGTTTATTGGTGTGTTTGTTAAAAAAAAAAGTTGGGTTTTGTCTAAAAAAAGTTCAACAACTTACAGAGTGTCCTGGTTTTTACTTTCTGAAATTTTGCAACCCTACCTTATACACACACAGTTCCTTTAGTTGTCAGAAATACTAGGTAGAAAGGGTATTGCCATTTAACCCAGACAATATCATTAGCTGGTTTAAGAGAGTATTTTAGACATTAACTTACTTTTCACAAGTAAGGTACAAACAATCGAGGACTTGGATGCTGAGATGTCTTACACGAGCAGAAAGGCACTTGTACTTGCACAAAGCAGTCCTGCTGAACTCTGATTTCCCTGTTCTTTTGCAGCCTCTTTCTGCAGAGGAGGAGGGTGGAATGCAAAGTGGGGGCGGGGGTGGGGGCGGAGAGCCACAAACTCTGTGTTGCATGAGTGGAGTTTTGTTCTGCTTTCTCTAGATCTAGCCCTAGAAGTTCAAATTTGATATGGTTGAATTTGAAGTGTTGCACAATTTTGAAGATGGTTTATTTGAAAATAATAAAACAACAGTGGGTTAAAATCCACTATGATACATCACTTGGTATAACAGAGATGTACAGTGGTACTTCAGGTTACAAACGCTTCGGGTTACAAACTCCACTAACCCGGAAGTAGTACCTCGGGTTGTGAACTTTGCCCCAGGATGAGAACAGAAATTGCACGGAGGTGGCAGCAGGAGGCCCCATTAGCAAAAGCGCGCCTCAGGTTAAGAACAGCTTCGGGTTAAGAACGGACCTCTGGAACAAATTAAGTTCATAACCTGAGGTACCACTGTATTCTTAATAAAATATCTTACAAAGAGATAACCAGTAGATTGAAATTATCTAGCTTTCTGCCTCCGTAAATTGCTTTCACTTGATAAGTGGCTTTAATGGAAAAAATAACTGCTACAAAATAGTATCTTTTTTTCTTGGAGAATATGTATATATTTTTAATAGTAATATATTAAAAATATTCCCACAAAAGGTCTGTCTTACAACCAGCTTTGTAAGTGGTTTGTGATGTTAACTTCCCTATCCTATAAAGGCCTACACATAAGGAAGTCCCATTCACTTCAGTGGTGCTTTCTGTGAATCAGGTGGGTTTGAACCCAAGATAGCTGGAAACTAAGACCATATGAAGAACTAAGGGAGAGGTTGACGGGTTGGATACAGTATCATCAAATTAATGCAATATGGACAGAAGATAAAAAATTAGGAATGAACGAAAAGAAGTCCAAATTTCAGATTGAAGTAGTTGAAAGTAAATCGAAGGTACTATCCAAGATGTACAACATACTACTCTCCCCGCTTCTATTCATTCTGGCTCTGGAAGTCCTGGCGAATAAAATCAGGTCCAAAACAGAGATAAAAGGGATCAAAATAGGATTTAAAGAGTTTAAATTAAAAGCTTACGCTGACGATTTGATGTTGTCCCTAGAAGAGCCGCAGGAAAGCGTGGGCAAAGTATTGGAGATCATGGAGGAATACGGTAAACTATCGGGCTTTAAGTTGAACAAAACCAAAACAAAAATGTTAACAAAGAATCTTAGAAACGATGCGGTGGAAAGATTAGAGAGACAATTTGGAATCAAAGTGGTGAAGAAAATAAAATATTTAGGAATTTGGCTTACACCCAGAAATATAAATTTAATCGAAGATAATTACACACCAACCTGGAATAAAGTGAAAAAGGACTTGGATGCTTGGAACAGGGTGAATCTCTCGTGGCTGGGCAGGATGGAGGCAATAAAAATGAACATACTCCCTAAGATGCTATTCTTATTTCAAAATATACCTGTCATCAAAGGGTCTAAAATATTTAAGGATTGGCAGAAGACACTTTCAAGATTCATATGGCAGGGAAGAAGGCCAAGGATTAGATTCAAACTACTAACAGACCGTAAGGAGAGAGGAGGATTGGCAATACCTGACCTAAAATTATATTATGAAGCGGCCTGTCTTTGCTGGGTCAAAGACTGGATAACCTTAGAAGATACGGACTTATTAGATCTGGAAGGAGCCGATAATAGATTCAGTTGGCACGCCTACCTCTGGTTAAATAAAGAAAAAGTACATAAAAGGTTTTCGAGCCATATTATAAGAGGACCCCTGTATGAAGTCTGGGATAAAAATAAGAAATTGTTGGAGCAAAGAGTACCCTGGTGGCTGTCCCCAACAGATTTGTTGTCAATCAAAAAAACAAACATGGAAGTACAAAAACTGACATATGAAGACCTACTAGTGAGAACCCAAGATAGCTGGAAACTAAGACCATATGAAGAACTAAGGGAGAGGTTGACGGGTTGGATACAGTATCATCAAATTAATGCAATATGGACAGAAGATAAAAAATTAGGAATGAACGAAAAGAAGTCCAAATTTCAGATTGAAGTAGTTGAAAGTAAATCAAAGGTACTATCCAAGATGTACAACATACTACTGGAATGGGAAACTAAAGACGAAAAAATTAAACAAGTTATGGTTAAATGGGCAAAAGACCTGGGACATGATATAGAATACGAAAAATGGTCAAAACTATGGAGCGAGGGATTAAAATTTACGGCAAGCGCTGCAATCAGGGAAAATTTAGAAAAAATGATATACAGATGGTACCTTACACCAGAAAAATTGAATAGAATGTACAAGACCGCAGACAAGGCTTGTTGGAAATGTAGGACAAAAGAAGGCAATTTTATACATATGTGGTGGACATGTGAGGAAATTAAAAAATTTTGGGATCAGATATATAATGAGTTAAAAAAGATATTTAGATATACATTTCCCAAGAACCCAGAGGCCTTTCTATTAGGGATGGTCGGGAAAGAAATTCAAGAAAAAGATAAAATTCTATTCCAATACTCAACAGCAGCGGCCAGAATGCTAATCGCTCAAAATTGGAAAAGCACAAATCTTCCAACGGTGAGGGACTGGCAATTAAAACTACATGACTTTATTGAATTAGCAAGATTGACACAAAAAATTAGAAATCACAAAAATACAAAGTTAAAAGAAGAATGGAGTAAATTTATGGCTTATTTTGAAGGTAATTTTAAAAACTTACCAAATACAGCAGGTTTGGTGTAAAGCTCCCGATGTGCAAATTATAAACAAAACCAGCGGTAAAAAGATAACTACTGAATGTAAAAACCCGAAATCAGTAGGGAAGGAAGTCGACAGTTTTACGTTTTTATGTTGTAGTTTTCTGTCTTTCTTTTTCTTTTTTCTTGTTTCTTTCATAGTACTTAAGTGTCGTGATTTTTTGTTGAATGTTGTGTTTTTGTTTTCTTTTTGTGTGCATAAAAGAAAATCAATAAAGATTATTTAAAAAAAAAAAAAAAGGCCTACACATAAGGAAGTCCCATTCACTTCAGTGGTGCTTTCTGTGAATCAGGTGGGTTTGGGATTGCAATGCTATCCAGCCCCACAGAGGTGATGGGAAAGGGGTTAGGATATACATAGTGATTCCTCTGCTAGTGGAGAGGAGCCCTTCTGGTGGGGAGGCTGTGCACTGACCAAAGGAAAACTGCTCTTGGCGGTTCTTCCTCTGCCATTAGCCAGTAGAAATGCTGAAATGGGACATTTCAGGATAGCATGCCAATGGCTTTGTGTGCTTTTAAATTATATAAAAGAAAACTAGCAATCTTCCATATAATATGTCATAAACAGTTATAGCCAGCACTTGCTGGTTATCTACAGATGCACTGTATAATTTCATAAGAAATTTTTTTGCACTATTATTCAATGTGAAATAAAGGTTCAATTTTTATGCCTTTCCCTGGTCTCACTTAAAAACAAAATATTTACTTTTGCAGGTGAAAGATCTCTTTCAATCTTTGGCAGTAGAATACAGTGTTCTGGAACTTGACAAGATTGGTAAGTAAAATTGACTAGCTATTTCATTGTTGATAACCATAGATACATTACACAAATGCACACCATTTTACTGAATGAAGGCATCCTTTCAGTCTGCATGAAAGAAAACAACTCCCAAAATGTATTTTTTATCCAGTTACTTAATTTTGGATTTTAAGTAAATGAGTTTTGTGTTGGGAAGTAAAATTTTGTCGTTTTTTGGAATTTTGAAGGACTGTGTCTGCTCTGTTCTTACGAAGCTGTTTCTGTTGCAAATGTAAATGTACACTCCTTTATTTCAAATATTATCTGTTGTATTGGTTGCCAACTTATTAATGATTGACATATCTAAACTTCAGAAAGAAAGTTGCTGACTCATTGGCAAAAATTCTAGCACCAACTATAATCTGAGTTTATTGTTGAGCCGAGGCATTCTGAGATTGATAGTGCTGATTCTGATCCATCCTGGGGAAATGTTTCAGAAGTTCTTTCTCTTTCTTAATTCTTTCATCTATTTTGTACTGCATTGGCTTAGTTTGGAGTTAATGTTTTGGCTTTTTAAAGCATGGTTGTAGGCTTACTTATTCAGTAAAATCCACCATTCATTGGGGCTTTTACCTAGATAATGTTATCTATAAGATTGATTGCACAGAGCTCTCAGGCAGAATGAAAGGTAACCCACAGGTAAGATGAGAGCTTGCTTAATTCTTTTTACCAATATAAGATGACCAAATTAAATGTTTTCCCCTCACCTCTTTTGTGTGTTGCATGATCTGGACCAATACAGCAACATGATGATAATTTTGGATTCTTTTAGCTTTAATCAATGTGTCAGGTACCAAAACATTAAATGAATAGTTTGGTTTGATGCATGTTCTGCCACATTTTGCTTGTCAGCAAATTAAAAGAAAGCTATAGTAATAGTAAAATACAATTATTATTTTTTAGATACAACCAATTAACAAAGTAACTGCTGCCTTCATAGGCTATATTCTTTGTGCTATAGATCGAGGTTTGTTTTTGTTTTGAGCAATCATTTGTTTTGTTGATATCCCATTTGTGAGCTTCCTTGGAGCCTCAATCTAGGACAAAAGGCAGACTAGAACATTAAAAACAGGGGTACATTTGGAAGAAAGGGCTGGTGTTGTTTTGAATATGTATTGACTTTTAATATGCATCAAAGTTGAAAAGCCAGGCTGAGGAAACAAGTGAGTTCTTGTCTCTTATATGAAACCCTCATGCAATAATTGAACACGAGGTTTAGTAAAATCCTTTTGAACTGTATCACTATATCCTAAGGCTTACAATTCTACAGAGACATAATTTTTATGAGTTTATAATTGAGACTGATCTTGTGTTTGAATTATGACTTGAAGTGCAAAAAGGATTCTGCTGACTTAGGCTTAAGCCCAGTTTGCTCTAAAATTGCATCATAGCTAAAAATAAGCCATGGTCTAACATGAATGAGCAACATGCTTGGAGCTCACTTATTAAATTGTACCCACCCTACTTTAGAAAACATATTGGAGGCTGGCTTTATGCCCCTGCCACCAACCCAACTGAGTGCTGTTTTGCATGTATCATTAAGCCAGTCTGCAGTATATTTCTTCCTAGCTTTGGAAAGGGAGAAGCAAGGGGGTGTCATTTCAGCAGTGTGCATCAACACACTACTCCTTTGTGCTAAATCCCGGTTTATATTAAATGTGGTGTTACGTTACATGTGAACCAGGCCTTAATGATGCAACGTTGAGGTTGTGAGGATCTAAAGGTGGTTTCACTACCCATCTAGCACACTGCTGGGCTTGTGCTGGCAGGTTGGAGGAGTGTTCTTGTGCGTCTCCCATCTACTTTACAGGGATTAAAAAACAACTTTCCCCTCCCCTCCATTGGAAACAGTTTGAGTGGAAGAACAGGAAGAGATTTAGACCAGTTCGTGAGCTGGTCTAAATCTCTCTGCATTTGGGGGACATACTGGAGCACTGGGATAGTTTTGGATCCAAGTCACTCTGTCTTTGGTTGAGCCACAGCCACGAAAAAGTTGCTGCAGGGAAGGGGGAAATTTGACATCGGAGCTCACAATCTGATGTCAGGGAGGGAGATCTGATGACAGATCGCCTTCCCTGCCACTGCAGCATCTTCCGTGGACCTTGGTGCAGCCAATGTTGGGACTCTGGTTTGGCTAAGGCCAAAAGGTGGGCATCCTCCCAGGGGCCATAGATTGCTACCTCAGCTTAATAGGTCTTGCCCTCTGCACAGTGCTTTATAGATTGATCAGTTTATTTATTTGTCAGCAAGGTACTTTGCATTTCATACGGTACTGGAATGTTAGATTTTGGACTTAGAGAATTTCCAGGTTCTTGTTAGATTCATTATGTTAAGTCACTTCTTTCATGTAAAGTGCCCAAAATGACTGAATGACTGAATGAATAATTGTATCAGCAATCTGCTGCATTGCTGGAGCTGAGGCACACGGATCAATCTTAAATATAGTTAGTAAAGACCAGTCAACTGCAAAGCATAATTTATGAAGCTGCCTTGCTTCAAATAATCATAGTTAAGATTAACTACGTTTTTGGACTATAAACTAAACAGCAGTTAATCTAAAACAGATGCAGAGAAATTTATAATCTGCTTGTGACCATGTAGCTGAAGAAGATGCAACATTGCTGAAGCTCATTCTCCATAGTGCTTAACCATGATGAGTCTTTCATTCAGATGTGGTCAGTCTGAATGAGATGTTTTCCTGATTCTTATCTGCCATACTTATGTAACAGCTTTATATAAATTATCTTCTGTTTTAAGCGCCACTTTTATTATAGCTGGTGGAATAGTGTCTTGCAATGCATAGATCTTAGCAGAGTTGTAGGTTGTAATTCTACCCTCCCTCTTCTCTCTTAGATGAGGGGCCCAGCATTCAGGAGGTGTTGCTAGAATTGACAGGTCAGAGGACTGTTCCTAATGTATTTGTAAATGGAACTCATGTGGGTGGATGTGATCAAACTTTCCAGGTAATCTCGCTCTTCCTCCTCTTGGCATGAAAATGAATTGTTATGAGATAATGATTATGCTTTTGTAGCTAGCGTCTCCAAACAGTGTCACTTGTGCTATCTTGTTATGCAGTACATAAAGTTTGGAATTCATAAAGTTGCAACTATCCTCTGTATCAGGCTTGGGAAGTATATGCACCAGTAAGAAGCAAACAACCACCCTGTTTTATATGGGTTCTTTTTATCAGGAGGACTTCAGGTTACATTATTGATATCTACATTTCCTAGTATTGCTCTTTCATTGCTGTTGTTGTTTTTAGATGTGCAGCCAGAAACGATATATGTTTACTTTTGCCTTCTATGTTCTTTCCCAATAAAGAGTGTATAGAATTGTGGTACTAGCTTTAAGTTTTCTTAAAGGTCAGGCAAGTGCAAGGGCTTCCTTATCAGGACAGCTGCATCTTAAATGAGTAAAACAGACCCTGATCTTAAAACATCTGTACTCAGTGAGTTTGTATCCAACAGTTCTACTACTCACAGAAGGCTCTTGAATTTAGTGGAGGGTTCAATGAATGGAATTGGGGAGGGAGGTGTTTTTGGCAGAGTTCCCCTTGTTTCTGAGACACCCTGTGTCGTCACAAAACTATGCTTCAGAGGGCAAGGTAACCCTCTGGAGCAGAATGGAAGGTGGTGCAGGGCACTACAGGAAAAGGTAGGATTTGTGGAAAGTTGCCTCCTCCTCCTGCTGCTAGATTAAAGAGCTGTCCATTTCTAGGAGGAGAGCACTGGATATAACCTAGCTTTGTAATACTAACAAAGTATTCTCTATTCTGATTTCTGTGTCTTGTGTCCTTTTTACAGGCTTACCATAGTGGCTTATTGCAGAAGCTTTTAGGGGATGGGAAAGGTGAAGAGATGGAAGCCTACGATTATGACCTAATTGTTATTGGTGGTGGTTCCGGTGGGCTTTCATGTTCTAAGGTATGAACTCTACAAACAGGTTCCAAGCATATACTGAATTGTATGTGGTTTCATATTTTCCAACCGACTCCTTACATTTTTAAAAATCTCATTCACAATACCTCAGCAGCATTCCATATCTGAGTGGAACCGCAGTTCAGACCCTTGCCTGAACAGGGTCTTTTGACCCTGCAGCAAAAGGGCTAAAGAAACCTGGCCTGGTGTGTGGGTGTGGGTGATGATGTTTCTCTGAGAGATTCAAAACAAAACAAAACTGGGATTAAGTTTCATTGAATTAAGTGGACATTACTTCCAAGCAAGCATAGGATTGTGCTGTCAAGACTATTACATTATCTCTGAGCAGCCAAGAAAAAGGGGGTGTTTGTATATAACAGCAAAAGACAACCTGTGACCTTCCAGATGTTCTTAGAATCCCAACTTTCATCAGCCGCCACCAGTGTAGTCAGTGGGTCAAGGATGATGGAAGTGGCAGGGCAACAGCATCTGGAGGGCCACAGGATCCACATCCCTGGAGTATGCCATCCAAGTTAGCTTTACATACGAAAGACCCTGCAGTCTAATTACTAGGAAATAGCTCTTGAGGATCTGGTCATCTGCTTATTAAGAGAGGAGCTAATGGATTGCTAGGTTTTGTGTTGTGTTGGAGAACAGTTGTTCCCAAACATTTCTCCCTGTGAATGACTTGAAAATGGCTGATGCTCTTGGCATACCACTTAATGATTTTCTGCCTTGGGGAGAGATATTGCTATTGTGATAATTGAATAAATAAATAAAATAAAATAAATAATGCACTGCACAAGATACTGTGCGAGTTTTAATTGTGTTTTTATTGCTTTTATTTCTTACATTGTAATTTATCGTATTATAATTTGAATTCCATAGAATTTAAATTGTTAAACAATAAAATATAATCTAGGAAATAAAAGAAGTAATAAAAATACAATTAAGAATCAAAATACATATTTAGCGTGCCACAGACGAAGCTTGTGGATCACTGATGGTTGTCCAGTACTCAACTTGTTTGAGAATTAAACCATTCATAACGCATGCCATAAATTTAAGTTTAACGCCCCTTCTTCTCTTGGAGAAGGAAAAGGATATTAATTGACAGAAGTCTCTTTCACCTGTATATCATGATACTACAACACACCTATTGTACATATTTAGCCAGTGGCAACTTCTTATTCACATTTTGTATTATCCTCAGTTTGGGCATGGGGGGAGGGAGTATTTGAATGTATGGGAAATCTTTGCATTCTAGAGAGTCCTGGGGGGCATAGGTGAGAGTCCTAGGAATGAAACTGCTTAGAAAATAACCCTAATGTGGTAGAACAAACCAAGATTTAAATCAACTGTGAGAGGTGAAAAAAGAAATGTTTCATGTAGGGTGTGTCTATGCGTGGGAGAAGTAAGGGCATATAGCTAAGAATGCTAGTTTGAATTATGTGCTAAATTGCTGTGTTGAAGAAACATGAATAATTGCATTTCAGCCAGTGGCTGTTCTCTTCCTTGTCACAAATGGTAACTTCTGTTCCTTAGGGCATAACTGTTTTCACGAATCTGAACTGTTAAACTGCACCTAAAAAGGGACAGTCTTCTACATCTGCATAGGTCTGATGTTCACTTGTTTGTTATTTACAGGAAGCTGCTTCCTTAGGAAAGAAGGTCATGGTGCTAGACTACGTTGTGCCAACACCACTGGGTACAACATGGGGTAAGTAGTGATTTGAACAGATTTCAGTGTTGCTACTTAGTCAGCCAACTAGCATGCTGGGGGTTGTTCATTCATTAGTGTCTGTTTTGCTGTGTGCTCTTGAGCATAACATATAGTCAATGATGGCTTTCTAATTTCGGCTTTCTTCAAATCCTCAGCAAACCTCTCTTTAGATCTGTGTCCTACAAAAAGTATTATTTGGCTAATGTTTTTGTTCGTATGGAAGGACTTGAATATTTCTCATCAAAGGAACTCTTAAACCTATGCAGCACAAAATTGGAACCATGGCCATGGTGTTCCTGTTATATAAGCACATACTGATCTTGTGACTGTGGCATTGGCTTCCTCGTTTTAGGTTACAGCAGCAGAATAATGACTTTAACAGAATTGTGTTCAGAGTGCAGTGTAGTATAGAACAAAATGTCTGGCCTATGAACCCGTTTTTCCAACTTTGATTCTCCTTAAGTGTATTCTAGTGACATAATGTGTTTAAAAGACTAGATATGATGAACTCCATGAGTATATTGCCAGTCAGTCAGTTGGTTCCAGACATGCAAGCGGGAGGGCCTCTAATCCAGTGGAGGATGCTGCTGGAGGGAAGCAACTTTTGCCAATCCCTCTTTCCTTACCTGCAGTCCACAGTCTTCCACACTGTTCCCCCGATCCTCAAGAGCAGCTGTAGGGGGGAGAAGGAATGGGGGGCTGATTTCTGCTCCAGTCGTGGTTGGTCTGATCCAGCCCAACAACTAGTAGCAGAGATGTTGAAGGTTTGTTATAGAAATTTTGACTAGTTCTTATTTTGTAAGGTTATATGAAGCATGTGGTCTTCACTGTAAGCCCTGGAAGTCCACTACTGGCAGCTTTACAAATAGCTCAGAGGGCTCATGCAATCCCCTGGTGGCATGACAGGATTCCTTGCCAAAGTTTCTTATATCTGAGATATGCTTAATGTACACTCTTTGTTTCTGATATTATTGGGATAGAATTAAACCTTTCAACAGCCATTCAGCCACTAGATTTTATGGACCCCTAGTGATGAGTGTGCATGTAAGGTCTCAATTCACATTTAAATCTTCCTGATGTATAATTTGCATGGTTATGTGAGTTGCACCATCTAAAATCTTTGGATATGTATTTCTTAGCTTCTTCCTTTCCTACAGGCATGTGTTGCTCCCCACCATGTACACATACTGTACAGTGGTGCCTCGCAAGACGAAATTAATTCGTTCCGCAAGTTTTTTCTTCTTGCGAGTTTTCCGTCTTGCGAAGCACGGTTTCCCATAGGAATGCATTGAAAATCAATTAATGCGTTCCTATGGAGACCGCTTGCCAGGCTGGCGGTGCGGAGAAGGGCTTTTCTCCCCACCGCAAGCCTTCAGGACAGGTACGGGAACAGAGGGGAAGGGGCGCAGCCCGGGGCTTGCGGTGGGGGGAGGGTTTTTCCTCCCCACCACCAACATTCAGAACAGCATTCTGAATGTTGGCGGTGGGAAGGAAAACCCTCCTCCCACCGCAAGTCTTCAGGACAGCTATCCGAAGGCTGGCACGGGGAGAAGGTCTCTCCGCCCCACCGCCCGGCTTCGGAGCAGCCTTCCGAAGGTCTCTCCGCCCCACCGCCCGGCTTCGGAGCATCCTTCCGAAGCCTGGCGGCGGGAGGAGGTCTCTCCGCCCCACCGCAAGGCTTCGGAGCAGCCTTCCGAAGGCTGCTGGTGGGGCGGAGAGACCTCCTCCCGCCGCCAGCCTTCGGAGCAGCCTTCCGAAGGCTGGCGGCGGGAGGAGGTCTCTCCGCCCCACCACCAGCCTTCGGAGGAGGTCCGAGGACAGTGGGGAAGACGCGCTGCGCTTCCACGCTGTCCCGGAGATTTCCCTATGGGCTTTCGTCTTGCGAAGGAAGCCCATAGGGAAATTCGTTTTGCGAAGCGCCTCCAAAACGGAAAACCCTTTCGTCTAGCGGGTTTTCCATATTGCGAGGCGTTCGTCTTGCGGGGCACCGTTTTTATTTTATTTATTTATTTATTTATTTATTATGGCCATAGGCCCATACAGGTAAAAACAAAACATAAATAACAGCTTGTGCACGTGGGAAAAAAACAGCCGCTAAAACACCACTATAACAATAAAATACTATAAGATGGAATGGCATACTACGCCTTAATTAGCTTGTAGTGCTCCTTGGCGTCGCTTTTGGGTAAGGACAGCGACCAGGAACCTAGCCACTTTCAGGGTCGTATGGGTATCCTTATCCTGCAAGATTTGGGCAAGGTGGAATTTTGGTGGGGTACCCTCTAGTTTCTGTATGATTGATCCCAACAAATTTGCCCAAATTTGCACCACTGTATATGGAATTGAAAAATTTGATCATAATAATAATAATAATAATAATAATAATAATAATAATTAATAATAATAATTTATTTGTACCCCACCCATCTGGCTGGGTTTCCCCAGCCGCTCTGGGTGGCTTCCACAAAGACCAAAAATACACTGAGATGTCATACATTAAAAACTTCCCTGAATAGGGAAGTTTTTTAGTTTGGTAAAGCCATTTCTGCTAGTGTGAGGCTTGTTAGTAAAAATATTTCATTGCATTTCACTTCAGTTTGTATACTGCCTTTCTGTGTTACTATACACAAGGCGGTTTGCAGCAACAAAACATACAACAAAGAACTCACAGTAATCTGATCCAATGTAGAAAGTCATAATAAAACATAACGTTAAAATGTAACTACTTATATCAAATAAATTAATATTCAATAATCAATATCAAGCGCCTCCTGTTTCACTTCTGTCTGTAAAAGGATACATAGAATGGGGCAAAGGCAGGAAGGCTAAATATGTGAAGCTATGTCAGTTGTCAAGTCTTAACCACCTTTAATACTGCAGCTGGAACTTTGTTGAGGCTGGGGAAGAGGGCTCACCAACATTGCCCTTTCATTGCTGCCAGCCTCCTATGCAGGAGATAAGAGGAAGCTGGCTGTGAATAATCAATCCTGGTGAGAAGAGGCACTCCCTCTGAACTTAATTTAAGCCAGACTGCCGAGGTTTGGAGTGCAGTCAAAGGCAGCAGCTACAGCTTTATTTATTGCGTGTTACCTTTCTTTTTTCCCTTTGTTCTTATGTATTTAAGCCTAGATTATTAGTTTTGCAGTAATGAATTGAATCAATGTTTGACGGGTTGTTGATTTTGTCCTATTTGATATGTTTTGTAAACTGGAAGACATTTGTTGCAAGCAGCTTTGGGCATATGTATAGTAGGCATATAAATAAACAAACTTGATCAATAATAAATGTTGCTCGGCACGCAGTAAGAGTTTGTGTTGTTGACCGTGTATGTAAGGTATCTAAGTTACGCCATCAGTTCTGTGCATCATAATAGTAGGTCTTACTTAATACAGTACTGTTAATGAGAAGTTTCTTAATTAAATGTACACTTTGCATTTCAGGACTTGGCGGCACTTGTGTAAATGTTGGCTGCATTCCTAAGAAGCTGATGCATCAGGCAGCCCTGTTGGGTCAGGCACTGCGAGATTCAAGGAAGTATGGCTGGGAGTTTGATCAGCAAGGTTTGTAAGAAAGCAAATAATGTATTTATGGGAGGAAAGAGCAATTGGTGCATTTTTATCTTTGGGACCAAAGCCCTGAAACTGGTGTAAAGTTAACTAGGCTACTAGCATGTGCTAGTGAAGGAATGTAAGGGATTTGGGGTGCTGCTTTCTCCTCCCCCTTTCAGTAGGCTATTTAATGGCACCAAGTGATTGTTCTACATAAACTTGTGCTTGTCTTCTTTATACATCAGTCTTTGGAATCTTAGAGAGTCACTTGTCACTATCTTTTCAAAAGTTGTTGGTGTAGGCAGATTTTATTGCAACTACTGTCTGTGTATTTATCTGCAAATATTGAAACATGAGACCTATGAGATCATTCGGAGTACCTGCATTTGTTTCAGTGGGGTAATGCAGCCCAATCCTGCTATCTGCTTGCTCGCTATATGAAAATTCACTTATCTGCATTTAAAGACTTCTGCCCAAGCCTCACTATACACTCCACAGAGTCACATATATGAACATCCGGCTTCCTCATTTCCTTGTTTTTTTGTGCTGTGCTGCTTGGTGGCAGCCATTTTCGGGCAGAAACCATAGGATGGGGAGCAAGATCAGACTAATCAGAGTAGGAAAAGTCAGACAAATTTGTTTATTTACTTTGTCTGTCTCCTGTTGATTGGCTACAGCGATTTCAGGAAGAAACCAGGGAGGAGAGTGAGCAAATCTCACATTGGAAGTGTTCTCATAGGAAATAATGGAAATTGTAGACTCATTATGCAAATGTGCTACTAATGATTTCATGGGAAGGCATTGTGTTCGTTAAGCAGCACATGCATGTATTGGTTTCATTGGTGGGATCTGATAAATTAATTTTTGTATGAACATTTCTTTTAGTTAAACACAACTGGGAGACCATGGTAGAAGCAATTCAAAATTATATAGGATCATTGAACTGGGGGTATCGGGTCGCCTTGCGTGATAAGTCTGTGACATACCTCAATGCCTATGGAGAATTTGTTGGACCACACAAGATTAAGGTACCTGCAGAACCTTGTCATTGTTGACATTTGATCTATTCAGAAGTGTTGCTTCTATAATCATTACTGTGTATGAACAAGTTAAAGTGATAGATTAGGAAAAGCAATGCTGTTTAACCTATTTTGTTTCAGTTGCAACTGTATGGTCTTGTACAACATCAAACACCTCAAAAAGTATTACACAATCGACATAATGGATATATGATTAGCCACAAATGAAGTTGCTTGGCTGAATATGTTTTTTCCTAAATACGGAATTAATTAAACTAGGGTAGATATTTTGCTGTGTGAAAAGAGGCAGTTGAGAAACAATAACTTCAGTTTGTACTAAGTTGTAATTACAAATTTAATTCAATACTGTAACTACATGAAGATTATTTTAATTTTTAGTGTTAATTATTCACAAGTAAAACAACATAAAAATCTGCATGATGTAATACTGGTTGATAGATTATTCAGATCAGTGTGTCTTACTGCCTTGTAAGTAATTCTTGGTAAAGTAATTTGCTGGCAGTATCTTGGGGAAAATGCATTGCTGTGTGGAAGAATGCCAGTTATAAAACTTTCTTTCCGTTGACCAGGCAACCAACAGAAAAGGACAAGAAACTTACTGCACAGCTCAGACATATGTTATAGCCACAGGAGAAAGACCTCGATATCTAGGTATCCCGGGAGACAGAGAGTACTGTATTACAAGGTGAGCTTGAATTAAATGACTGCTTTTCGGTAGATTAAAAGGGCTTCTCAGTATTTAAACATCAGTGATAATACTGTTTCATTTTCAGCGATGATCTCTTCTCTCTGCCCTACTGCCCTGGAAAGACTTTGGTTGTGGGAGCTTCTTATGTAGCTTTGGAATGTGCCGGATTTCTTGCTGGACTTGGTTTGGATGTCACAGTTATGGTACGCTCTATCCTTCTTCGTGGCTTTGATCAAGAAATGGCAGAGAGAGCAGGAGCCTATATGGAAACCCATGGTGTAAAATTCATCAAGAAGTTTGTTCCTGTTGAGGCAAGTATCTCCCTTGGTTACGTCAGATAGGAAAACGCTGATGTTTGAAATCTTTTTGTGCAACTTTGAGCAATATGGCATATGTGTAAACACAGTTGGGGGGCGGGTTTTGCCTGCAAAGGCTAATAAAGTGAACATTGTAATAAAACAGTATTATGTGGGTTGCGATAAAATTCCTAAGTTTATGACTGTTTCATGCAGGTTGTAAAGTTGGAGGAAGGCATGCCTGGAAAACTGAAAGTGATTGCAAAATCCACTGAAGGAATACAAATGATTGAAGGAGAATACAACACTGTAAGTGCTTTGCACTTGTGATTTTTGTTTTGTTTTGTTTAAATTTATTATTGTGGTGGGGAGATTGGAAAGTTAGTTATTCTTAACTTGGCAGTGCTGACACACTTAGGCCAGAATCTAGCAGTAACTGCTGCTGCACAGCCTGGTGCAGCACTCTAACCCTAACACTTTTGCAATGAAGTTCATTACTGGATCTTTCCCTTTTGCTGTCTGTATAGGTTCAGTCATAGAGTTGGCCAGATGGTAGCTTGTCATGAGCATGTTGGAGTCTATTTTTAGACTCTGAATAGTTTTTGAACTCCTTTTTAAACCACATGTGGGGAACCTTGGGCCTAGGAGCCAAATGTGGCCCTCAAGGCCTTATCTGTGTGGCCGTTGGGTACTGTTTCCATGCCACACCCCTCACTGCCCTTGTGTCACCCCCTCCTTGTGTGTGTTTATGCCTGGTTAGAATATGTCCTTGAACTCTGATAACGGCTCGTTTGCCCCAATGAAGGATGCAGAGGAGTGTCAGTTTGTAAAGTACCGTAGCTCTGTCCAATTGCTCTGTCCACTTCTGTCTCTGGCCCCCACCTTCCACTGGCATGTAGCCACCTGTAATTGCCTAGAAGGCAGTGGAAAAACAACAACCCTCCACTATTTAAACCAAATAGTGCTGCTTGGATTACATGAGAGACTTTTCAATACAGGACCACCAAAACAAGAGACATGATTCCTTTTTGTGCAGGTTTTGATAGCTGTTGGCCGTGATGCTTGTACTAGAAATATTGGCTTGGACAAAATTGGCGTGGCAGTTAATGCAAAGTAAGTATTCCAACTCTTTAATTAATCTTGGTACATACTGAAATTTGTTTAGAAATCAGCTTTGGTCTTTTAACAGACTTTCTAGAACGTCTGCTTTCAGAAGTCTGTTCTAAATTATCACCTAGAACCCATGAGCTCTTAAGGGTGAAACTAGGTATCTTAAGCATGCTCACAAAATTAGTTTAAAACTAGCACTTTATTCCTATAAATTCCTGCATTTCACTACAGTGATACCTCTGGTTACGTACTTAATTTATTCCGGAGGTCCATTCTTAACCTGAAACTGTATCTTAAGCATGCTCACAAAATTAGTTTAAAACTAGCACTTTATTCCTATAAATTCCTGCATTTCACTACAGTGATACCTCTGGTTACGTACTTAATTTGTTCCGGAGGTCCATTCTTAACATGAAACTGTTCTTAACCTGAACCACCATTTTAGCTAATAGGGCCTCCCGCTGCTGTCACGCCGCCGCCGCGCGATTTCTGTTCTCATCCTGAAGCAAAATTCTTAACCCGAGGTACTATTTCTGGGTTAGCGTAGTCTGTAACCTAAAGCGTATGTAACCCGAAGCGTATGTAACCCGAGGTACCACTGTATTACCAGTTGTTAAGTTGCAAATCCATCTGTAGAGCATGAGAATCTTAATCAGGTTCAAGCCCCACATTGGGCAAAAAGATCCCGGCATTGCAGAGGGTTGAACTATATGATCCTCATGGTCCCTTCCAACTCTACAATTCCATGAAAACCTGCTTAATTTTTCAGTTTTGAAATTTAACTACAGCAGGCTTTATTTATTTTAAATTAGTATGAAGCCAAGCAAGAGAGTCCACTTCCCATTAAATTGGTTTAATTTGTTTTAACACTTAGAGAAGCATCTGATGTTATTATCTCAAGGATTAAACCTCATATAGCCTAATGAGTGTGGCTGTTGGAATCTGCTCATTGTAGAAATTGATCTGACCTGACAAGTATGAAAAGTTGTGTGGTACTCATTAGACGTTAATTTTCTTCAATATAGTGCGACCAACTGGTATTCTGATGTCTGTCTTCATGTATAGTAATGTCCAAGGCCACATGAGCAGATTTCCCTTTGCTCTCTTTCCCATGTCATCCTAAATCTGCTCCAGAGGGTCCCCAAGCGCTCTGGAGCAGATGGGGAGGGGGGATTGCTGCAGGAGAGAGAAGAAGTTGTTCCCTGAGTAGATTGACTTAATTGGATGTCTCTCATTATTAAGTGTAATCAAATCGTAGCACTATGTCAGTGTTAACTTTCCCCCCCTTCCATGTAACAAGGAATGGGAAAATACCTGCAAATGATGAAGAACAAACCAGTGTGCCTTACGTCTATGCTATTGGAGATGTTTTGGAAGGAAAGCCAGAACTTACACCAGTTGCCATACAGGCAGGCAAGCTGTTAGCTCGCAGACTTTTTGGAGGGAGTAATATAAAGGTAAATGTTCAATTTCTTATGGTTATTACTGGTTGCATGTTCAGACAAATAGTTTTTTGAAATGGTCTTCTGATATGGTTAAGACACGTAGAATTCGTTTATCCATGTTAGTGTCACCACTTTAAGTAACTTCTGGTCCAGCTTATGCACCATCAGTTGCTAATAGCATTGGACTTATGAATCTCGGTGGAAGGCACTGATCTCTGTCCAACCCCTGGTATAGCCACAGCCAATTTTTGTATTTATTTATATGCCACTTGATTACAGTAGTCTCTAAGTTGAGTTGTGATTGCATGGTGACTATCTTATGCTCCTAACAAAATCTGGAAGTACCACACAGACTTTTACATGAACTGAACTTTGGAAGAGTTTCCAAGGAACTCTTCTCATTGTGAGACTTTTGTGGGTGAGCTGAGAGCTTGTTGGACCCTGGGTGAGAATCCGGAGACTGAGATGGAGGGTGTGTCAGAAGGAAAATGAATTGATACTGATTTTTATATATTGGTAACTTTGTATTACTGTAACATTTGTATATGTAATACTGTATTTTTCTAATATTTTGTTTAAGTTGTCTGTTGGTGCTTCAGTTTTCTGTATACTGCTTAGAGATATTTTAAATATATTAAGTGGTATAGAAGTCAAATAATCAAAGCACATAATCAAAAGGACAGGGCTAGTGACTGCATCATATTGAAGCATCCTGAAAGTTGGTGGGGTGGGGTGAGCTTGGAAACATATACAGTTGTACCTTGGTTTTTGAACAGAATGCATTCCGGAAGTCTGCTCGACTTCTGAAATGTTCAGAAACCAAGGCGCGGCTTCCGATTGGCTGCAGGAGCATCCTGCAGCCAATTGGAAGCCATGGAAGCCACGCTGGATGTTGACTTCCAAGGCATAGTTTGCAAACTGGAACACCTACTGCCTAGTTTGTGACGTTCAAGTTCCTAGTTGTTCATGAACTAAGCTGTTCGAAAACCAAGGTATGACTGTACAGACCAGTATCTATGCCCCGCTTTAAGTGTTAAGCTTGGGCTGCTGCTTTTGCTGCAAGAGTATAAGCTACTGTTTATACTGTGGCCAGTGCAAGTTTTATTGGATGGTTGTTGCATTTTCATCCCAATTGCTTTTATGTGTGAGTCATAGTGTATGCTTTCAATTTTAGTGTGACTACATCAACATACCAACTACTGTGTTTACACCTCTGGAATATGGCTGTTGTGGATTATCGGAAGAACGAGCCATTGAACAACTTGGACAAGACAATTTAGATGTGAGACTGGAATCTTAAAACTTTGCAATTAAATATGGGTTCTCTTCAGGGTATTAATATATGTGCAATCATATTGTGCCTCATAATCTAGTTTATTTTTGTAGGAACAGTAGCTGACCTGATATATTCTTCTTCCCAAATAAATCTCCACAGAATTTGAGGAACTGTGTCCTCACAGCCCTGTTTCCCTAGCCCAGTGTTTTTACTGGTGGAAGGGTAGTCCCTAGCCCTCTGTTGAGGTTCACTCATACACACAGGCATTTTCCTTGACAGCATAAATGTGGGGGTGGGGGCATTCTCCCACATGCTTTTTTCCTTTTCCTTTTTGCAAGGATAAGGATAGCAGCTTCCCTTTCTTTTTCATCCCGAGGGTGTAGGTTCCTGAGATGCTTGCACACACCACTTTAGAGATATTGTAAAAGTGCAAGGGATATTATTAAAAGTGCAATACAAAGTCATTAAAGGGAAAACATACTTTAAAAGCCTAATTTTCTTTTCCAGGTGTATCACTCGCTGTTCTGGCCACTTGAATGGACAGTACCCAATAGAGACAACAACACTTGCTATGGAAAAGTAATCTGCAATAAGCTTGACAATGTACGCATTCTGCTCTAAAAACATTTGTTTTCTTGCATGTTCATATTATCCAAAATATAAAGAAAGCCAGGGGACATCTACTTCAAAGTTGTGTGGATTGTTCTGCCCAGGGTGCTAAAATGTGGGAACAGAGAGTTGCCCTATAGTGAGTCAGACCATAAATCCATCCAGTTCAGTATTATCTACACTGACTGGCAGTGTCCGTCCAGATTTTCAAGCAAGAGACTGCCCAATTGAATTTGGGACCTGCTGTAAACAAATGTACCACACTGACCTACAGCCCTCCTCCAAGTATACTGTAACTTAATTTATCTGTTCTATTTTAAAACTCTACTAAAAGCAACTTGCGGCTTCTAATTCCTGGCTTTATTTAGCTGCTGCTTATTGAAGCCACAAAGCAGCTCAGCTTCTTGGAAGTGCCCAGCTGAAAATACTCTTGCGGTGCACAACTTGGGACAGCTAATGAAGTTGTCTTACCCTAACTGGCTTGTAACCACAACCCTGTTGTCTAGACTAGAGTAGCCAATATAGTGCTCTCCAGATGTTGTGGGCTACAACTCCACAACATTCCCTAAACATTCAATCCCTGAATGGATGGGGTTGATGGGACTTACAGGTAGTCCAGAGTATATGGAGGGCAGCCCATTGGCTGTCACTGGTGTAGTGACACACTTTCAATTAACATAAATTCATAGTGTATTTTAAAGGTAAGCTTGCATAGTTCTATGTGTATTTAAGTTTGGGTCTGTAAAGCAAAACTGCATTCATGCATGATGTCAAAACTCACTGTATCACACTGGAAGCAGGAATCTGGGCAAAGCTTTATGAAAGATGCTACTGCTCTTCTGAAATGGTTTTCTTAAAGTAGCGTGAGAAAATGTATGCTTGTCTTCTGTTTTTACCATGCGTAAGTCATCAAACTTATTATAGGATGAAAACCACCCTTCCTATAATTCCAACCAGCTTGTTGGGGTTAGACCTGTTCCATATTCCTTTCATGTGGTGAACAATAGAACTAACCCTTTTCATTGGTTTCTGCCCAACTTCTCATTAATGTGATGTATCAGTGGTTACCTTTATTCTCATTTATTTGTACAGTGAGTGAATACATTTTTATATGAGCTTGTGGCTTAGAAATGAATAGATACTAATAATTCAGTTTTACTTTTAATAGCGGTTCTAAGCATCTCACTTTTGTATTTTTTCCTGTTCTCAATTGGTGTAACATACTAAGGTAGTGTCTGGTATGGTAAAATTGATTGCTGTCTCTATTCATGTTGGAATATTGGAAACTAATTCAATATTCAGATTGCAGGGTTGTTTTTTTGCAAATGGTATACCAGAAGTAGGCAGAACAACTAGCAAATAAGCAGCTGCCTACAATTTAAGGGAAAATACTAACTGGGACAACTTACCTCTCTCTTCTCCCCCCTCCCCCCTTTTAATTGAAGAACCGTGTGATAGGATTTCATGTTCTTGGACCTAATGCAGGGGAAATTACACAAGGCTTCGGAGCAGCAATGAAATGTGGTCTCACAAAGGAATTACTTAATGATACGATTGGTATACATCCAACTTGTGCAGAGGTAAGAGTTTCAGTACCACTCATCTTATAACATACGTTTGTGGCATTTTGAACTTATTTTCCTCTCTACAATAACTTATCTCTTAAGGATCTCCTATCTTTAAACAAACAACCACTCCTTGTCCTGTTACATCTCTTTGTTGCAACACGTTTTCTTTTTTCTCCCCACTCCCTTGTGATTCTTCTCTAGAGACTTACAGTATTTACCTTTTTCTCTCTCTTGGGGTCCTGAGATAAACACTGCCTAGGAGGCATGACACTGAACATTACTCTTTAAAACAAGTCTTTGAAAGAACGTTTATAAGTTTTTGTGCTTAAAGAATCACTGCTACCTTTTTTTTCTTACACATTGGGGGTTGACGCTCACAGTAAGAGAATTCTGTGTTGGGCTTTTAGTCCAATTAGACAGTTGCAGCAGGAATGGTGTTGAATGGAATGTGAATTTCTGAATAGTATTAATAAAAATAATTTGTGGATTTCCCCCCTCTCTTTCAGGTGTTTACTACAATGGACATCACAAAGGCTTCAGGGCAAGATATCACTCAGAGTGGCTGCTGAGGTTAAACCCTGCTGTTTTAAACTGTTTCCTGTTTGTCCCACTTACCTATGTTGAAGATTTTAGGAAGCATTCAGATATACACAGGTAAATGAATATCTGAATGCTGTATTTTGCTACCACAGACATTGATTTTCTAAAACTTCAGTGGCAGGTGGTGGTGTCTGCAGGAAATGGCAAAACAGCAGGGGGTAAACTTAATCCTGACTTGCTTAGAGATTGCACTTTTGTGTATTTTTGAAGCTTTGGCTCTGAACCCCATCTGGAGGCGAGTCATGGCTGATGACTTCTATGCAAAGTTGGGAAAACCTATTTGTCCAGTCAGTAGAGATTCCTTCCAGAGGAACTTCGGAATCATCCAAGTGAAGTTTAATTCTATTAATTTCAGGGCTTTTGTACAAATGCAATGGGCAGAGTGAATGTATAGTTAATAACATTGGCTAGCAACAGCCATTGACCTTGATGGGTCAGTAGTGCATTTTGTTAATTGTTAACCTGAATGGTGAGATAGGTTTGCAGTGTCTATAAATATCCCTGTTTACACGGTCATAAGTTGGAGAGCGAGTTTACGAAGTTAATGTGTTATGTCCCCATATGCATCATAGCTCACAGGACACATAATGGGATGACTTGATTATTTTATCAATAGGTACTTGGTCACCAGAGAAAGCAGTCATCCTAAGTCACAAAATTATCGCTTACAATTTTTTTTTCAAGGGGGGGGGAGTTTCTCTAGTTTTTCCTTAATAACTTTACCCCCGATTTTAACCCCGTAGTTGACTACTCAGAAAAAAAATTTCCAAGTAGAGTCAAAATTGTTTCATGGTAATATTAATATGTTCCCTTTTTATGCAATAAGTGCATTGTTTCAGCCATAAAATGGAATGCATTTGGTCTAGGTTACCTGTATGCAGGCGATTAGCTTGAACTGTGTCATAGCAATAAACACTGGTTTATTGTGCTTTATAAAAATTCCAGTACAGTGAAAACCTGAAGCCCCATTGGCATTCCCTACTTACTTTGAGGAATGTATGCTTGAGTTTAGTTTATTCTGTGATTAAAAAGTCTCTTCTGAAATGCATTATTTCATTATCTGTTCATTATCATATGAACAGGTTTTTTTAATCTATTTATGGTGTATCATGAATTTAAAGTTCAGTAAATGAGCAATGTAATGTGTTGTGCACTGTCTCATTCCTGAGGAAAAACTTACCTCTTTTCAAAGAGAAATATCTCTTACGACTCAACATTTGGAGGCCCAGAAAAGCTTATGGGATGGGCATGTTACTATCCCCATGCCCCACCAATAATAAAAAAGCATCGTCCAACAGTATGAACAGTCTAGCCTTAATGGCTATCATTGTCTTTTCTCTTACTGGGGCACTGAGTATGGTGCGTGGGGAAAATGGCACAAAACCTAATGTTTTAAAAGGGTGCTTTAATAGTGGTGTTGGAAATATTTTAAATACAGAAACTTGAAGCCCTCGGTTTTTCAAATGCACAGAAATTCTAAGTGTAAAATTTGCTATTGCTGTCCCTCTTAACTTAAGGATGCTCCAGCTGTCTGCTAATGTAAGAGGAGGAGGAGATGCCTACTGAGTCAGTGAGCTACAACTGTTTTACGAAGATGTAAAAAATATTTTAAAACAAAAGTCTGTTGCTCACAAAGGGAATATTAATAGCAACATCAGACATCAGAAGTTTTACATGCCTTACTGGAGGCAACTGCTAGATAGCAGATGTGATTCAAAACAGATTTAGCAGGAAGAAGACGATGTCATTACACTGAAAATATTAGCAGCATGTGAATAATTCCAAATTAAAATCAAAGTATCAATGCAATTTAAATTTCCGCCTTTCTCCCTGCTTATGCACCACCCTTTTACTTATCAGTGATTTTAAACCTTTTTTTTTTGTCATAAGCATGGGCAAACTTTTTCTGTAAGTTGACTGAATGCTAATATGCTCTTCTGATTCCATAACCTTCCATGTTATTCATTAGGCTAGTTCTCCTTGGGGCTTCTTCACAAGCGTATACGCACAAAGGAAAAGACTGCACACTAAGGCAAAGCAAATTTTGTAGTGTGGTACACACTTTATGCATATGTGCGCGCGCGCACACACACACACACACACACACACACACAAATCTGCCCTGTGGGAAGGATTGCAACAGAGGGATGCAGGCCAAGACCCACTCTGAGCCTGTGCCAGCTGGACTGTCCCGTGCTGCAGAGTCTTTCTAGTACCAACTGCCCTGTGACCTTCTTGTATGTTCATATTTTGTGTGTGTTTATAAAATTGTAATGTTAATTTGTATGCCACCTTGGAAGGATTTGTATCCTGAAAGGTATAATATTACAAATTGTAAAAAATAAAGAAAATTGAAGCAGTTGCTGAAGGGTACAGTAGCCGTGCTCTCCACATGACAGCAGTCACATATGAACTTGTAGGAAACCTGTCAGTCACTGCTTTCCAAACACAATAATCAGTTCATCAATATAAACACTTGTGTAATATGTGACCTGACAGGTGAACATCGCATTGGGTGTGCGTTTCCTTCATATTCCTTGTGCCAGTTCTTTGGTTGAGCAATGATCCTCTCTTCACACGGGTTAAAAAGAAACACATTGACTTGGGGGGGGGGGGGACAGAAGTCACAGCTACTTCAAAACACTAAAGAAGCCTTTATAGAGCCTGCCTCTTACTTTTATGTATTCTACAGTAATTCAGATCAATAACAAGAAGCAGAGTACAAGACTGTGTTGATAATTACATTTAACTAGGGTTTTTTTTCCAGTTTCCATCTCTGAGAACATCAGTAAAAAAAAGGCTGAGACCTTACATGATTTTGGTTTATGTTTTAGCCAAGTTTTGTTAGCTGAAAAGTGCTCTACATTTTCAGTTGTAGTTTAAATGCTGCAGGAAAAATGCTGATTTCCTGAAGGTGTGGAGCATTACAGATCTTTGGCCAAGGCTCTTGTCTATTTTTATTGGACCAGCTCTGTCGACAGGTGTTGGGCAATTAGTTCTATCTTGGAAACAGTTGTGAAACTCCCAAGGATTTTGTTCCCGATAACACAGTTATGGGAAGGCATGATCAAATTTTAGATTAAATACATAAGCTCACACCAATAGTAGTTGTCAAAGTATTTCAAGCTTCTCGTAACGTGTAATTTCAGGACAGCTCAGTTGGTAGACCGTGAGACTTAATCTCAGGATGTGGGTTTGAACCCCATGTTAGGCAAAAGATTCCTGCGTTGCAGGGGTGTTGGTCCCTTTCAACTTCATGATTTTATGCCAGGTAAATTTGGTGTATCAACTAATCATTGCACATGCAGAATAACTAAATCATTTCATTACCACAAAAGAACTTACCCTTCTACCCTATATGCCCCTCCATCTGTTCTGGGTTTCCCCCCAACTCTGGAGGAGAATTGGGGCAGTGTTAGGGTGGGGGAGAAAGGGAAAGTTTCATTGGACTCTTGGAAGTTACCCTGCATGCACAATGATTTGGTTGCATAACCATAACTCTGCAAAGTATAGGTAAGCATATGATTCTATTGCCATTTTAACATAACATTGTAAATGAAGCTGTGTTGGCCCGTGTTGGCCCATGGGAAATTCTGAAGTCCGTATTAAGGCAACAGCTTTCTTCAGCCAACCAAAATGACAAAATGGTGCACACATCTTCTGGTCACCTAAAACTCTTCATCGGACTATCAGGCACCCCCAAACTCGACCCTCCAGCTGTTTGAGGACTACAGTTCCCATCAGCCCTGACCACTGGTCCTGTTAGCTAGGGATGATGGGCGTTGTAGTCCCAAAACAACTGGAGGGCCAAGTTTGGGGGTGCCTGGACTAGATGGTAAGCTGAGCAATGTGGGCGAGAGAATGGTCTGGTATAGAAAATCACGTCTGCGTTGGCTCAACTTCCAGAGGAATAGGTGAGGAGGCCAACGTGATGCCCGCTAGACATTTGGGATAACTCCCATCTTCCCAGACCAGCACAGCTGACACACAGGGTTGATGGGAGTTGTAGTCCAAAACAAGGGTACCAGGTTGCCCTCTGGGAACGTGGGATACAGTCGGAAGCACTGTATCAATAGCAGACCAGGGTTGAACTAGATGACCCGCAGGGTCCCTTACAATTCTATGGCCACTGTGAAAACAGCATGGCCCTTTGGCCTGATCCAGCAGGCTAGTCTCATGTTCAGGTCAAGTCTCCCCGGCGATCAAGCTTTGCCCTGGAGAGGAGATGGATTTCCTTGCTGTGTTTCGCGCTCCTTCCTCGCCTCTGAACAGGCCTTTCACGGGAGGACCAGCTTGCGCTACCCCGCCCCGCTGGGAACCGGCGCACCTGCCCGCCCTTCGCGTGCCTGCAGCAGGAGAAGCGCGCGCGCGCGCCTGAGGAGAGCCTCGGCCTCCAGGCAGCTTTCAGAGAGGCGAAGCCCCGCCGCGCCGCCCTTTCCAGCGGCTTCACCTCGGCCTTGGGTGGGAAGGGGAGAGTATAAGCATCCCGGCGTGGGCTGCCTTGGACCTTGTCTTAGGCCCTGGCTGCTTCTAGGCGGCGCGCAGCAAGAAAGCCGCCGGTGGGGGAAGTGGGTGCGCGCTCCTTGGCCGCCCACGCTCCTGGAAGGTTCGGGCGGGTTCCGGAGGTGGAGGGGGCGCGCGGGCGGTTGCCATTCCCACCTTGCCATCCCCAGGGCCGCGGTGTGAGAGGGCTTCCCTCGGGAAGGGCGGCGCCAGGCGGCGAGGGGCTCTTCACACCGAAGTGGGAGCGGGAGAGGCAGCTTTTCTGCCAGCAGGAGACAAGGCAAGGTTCCCCCCCCCATTCCCTCAGCATCCTCGGACCCTTCTCTTCCACATAGCCCTCCCTTCTTCTCATTACTCAGTCCCCCCACCTCGAAGCAGGGCAGGATTAAAACCTTGAGAAAACCCAAGCACTTGGAAGGTTTGGGTGTTTATATATGCATCTAGTTCAAAATATAAACAACAGTAAACCATAAAATGAAACGAAATGAAGTGAAACCTACAGTAAGATGGAAAATAATACTTATTTGTGTGTACTTCCACTTTACTTGTATTTGAAAAAAGAAAATCCTCCCCACATTTCTAATTGTAAAAATGTCCTCGATCAGATCCTCAAAACTAATGTTACATTCCATTCTATACTTAGTAGAGATAAGGCATCCAGCCTGGTAGGGGTGCCAACTTGAATAAAATATGGAGGTGCAAGTAAGCCATTCCCGGCATAATCAACCACATAATGCAGTGCACATTATGTCATTTAAATGGCAATGCCCATCAGCTTTGGTGGGACCCAGTGCCCTCAAATATTTTATGGGGAGGGCTGAAGACCCCTCGGACCCTAGGAGTTGGCTCCTATACAGCCTGCCTTGTTGTGTAGTTGTTCTGTTGAGATTTTTAATATACTTCAACTGAGAAAATGAATGCTCAGCAATTTGTGACCATTAATGTTAAAAATCTAGCAATGGAAAATTGCTGTGGTGCCCCCCTTCCTTTGATGCCCTAAGCACATGCTTATTTTGCTTAATGGTTAATCCTGCCCTGCCCTGGATTCCAGGATGGAGGAATGGTGAGCGAGGCACCTGGTGCCTGGCACTGCCCCTACCCACCTTCTGCCCCAAATTTACTAATAGTAAGCTGTACTGCTGTACTGGGAACCGTGGCATCACCTAACATATCTTATTGTGCTGCCTTTGGTCCAGCAAGGGCCACTGGCTTCTTGTTCTTTTTGTAGCGTCATCTGTGCACATGGTGCTTTGCAAAGGGTGTGTGTGAGAGGTTCCCTGTCCCATGGGGCTAAGAAGAAGGAAGGCAACAGCAGCAGAAGTAGGAAAATAGTGGAGGAAGGGGGGGAAATCCAGGCAGGGTTAAATAGAGGATTATTTCCATTGCACATACTTTGTATTCGTTACAGTAAAGGTAGCATTGGCTATAAATATAAACACACACACACACACACACACACACATTACTGGCCTAAAATGTAGTCAGGTTTGTTTATTTATTTCTCAATTCAGATCAGAACTGGTTTGGGGAAGAACACACCAGAATACAGTATTTCCTAAGAAATGGCAGGATAGATATTACTACGACTAACGTTGTTGTGGGTACACCGCTTCCCAAACCAGTGGTGGGGACACAGTGAATGCAGAGTAAATGGGAGTGTATACATGACCACTATTTCTGGAAGAAGTTGCCTTTTGTTTATCTGAAGAGCTGTTCTGGATCTGACCAAAGGCTCCTCTCGTCCAATATCTTGAGACCACAACAAAGCCAGCCAAGTGCTTCTAGGAATTCTTCAAGCAGGGAATGAAGGCATCCACCCTTCCCTCATCAATTGAGACCCTGGGAATTGTTACTCAAGCAGTGCGCTGCCTTTGAACATGGAGTTTCCATTTAGCAATAATAGCTAATAGCAGTTGGTACACCTATCTTTTCAGGACCTGGCTACATAAAGCCTTTTAAATATAATCAGAGATCTAGTAGCCATCAACACATCTTGTAGCAGCAAAGCCTATTAGTTAACTATGTATTGTGGGAAGACGGACTACCTTTCTTTTTTGTCTTGAATGTACCTCCAGTCTGTTCTACCAAATGATCCATAGTTCTAGAATGAGAGAGGGGGGAAAGCTTTCTTCTTCTCAACACAATGAATAATGTAGTACATTCCAGCTCTTCTCTATCTCCATCATTTGATGAAAAATGCAGATTCCATGGTAAGTGGATATCAGCAACAAAATGTAACTAGGCAGTTATTATATTAGGGAAAATGTAGATAAATTTGGGTTTTAGAAAGTCAGTACAAGCCAAGGTAAGGTAAAGGTACCCCTGCCCGTACGGGCCAGTCGTTTCCGACTCTAGGGTTGTGCGCCCATCTCACTTAAGAGGCCGGGGGCCAGCGCTGTCCGGAGACACTTCCGGGTCACGTGGCCAGCGTGACAAGCTGCATCTGGCGAGCCAGCGCAGCACACGGAACGCCGTTTACCTTCCCACTGGTAAGCGGTCCCTATTTATCTACTTGCACCCGGGGGTGCTTTCGAACTGCTAGGTTGGCAGGCGCTGGGACCGAGCAACGGGAGCGCACCCCGCTGCGGGGATTCGAACCGCCGACCTGATGATCGGCAAGTCCTAGGCGCTGAGGTTTTACCCACAGCGCCACCCACGTCCCCAGTACAAGCCAAACTGGGGGGTAAAGTGTCCTTAGAGAATAAAGCCCCATCTTCAAGTACCCTAATTTCCTCCAGTTTCAGATCCTGCTGTTTGTTTGTTTTTTAACGTTACTTATATTGACTACCTGTCTTCAAAAAAAAAAGGAAAAGATTTATTTTCTTGTTATGTTTTATTGCTTTAATCCTTGTGTTCCACCTTAACAGTCTTTACATTAACAGTTAGTAGTTACCATATTAGAAGGAGTGAGGGCTTTGTACTAATGCAAAAATAAAAGGGCAGGGCAGGGATACCAGTAGGGTGGGGGTTGGGGGGAAGGCAGCTGATAGAAGACCATGGGTGAGTAAGGAACAGGAGATCAGAAACAAAGGGAAGAGTAATGACTGCTCCCCACTTTAAATGGTGGGCGCCCATTGCGTCGTTGCGCGCAGCCCCCAGGACCCTGTGTGGCACCATTAGCACAGGCTTGGCTCCGCCTTCCCCAGGTGGGATTCCTGGAGGTCTCCGCCTACCTCAGCCAGTTGCCCAATCCCGCCTGTGGAGGCGCTGCCAAGGTAGGGGGAGGGACCACCCTGCCCACACAAGAGGGGGAGGATCTTACCTGGGAATCGTCAGTTGGCTCCAGAGCTGCTCCCGCCCTACCCACCCTCAGTTAAGACTTATTTTGCAGGTTAACCTTTTCTCCACAGGTACACGGGATCTGCTATGTCAAGGTCGCTCTTGAAGGGCCGGAAAGAAATTCTCCTGCATTGGCAGGTTTGCCTGCAAAACATCACAACTTTGGCAGTATCAGGCCTTGGGCGGAATCCTTTAGCTTATCTTCCCTAAATGGGGGTGGGCATGTAGCGATGACCCACACCCCTCTTCTCTTTGTGGCAGCGATACCAGGGCTCCCCATTAAAGAGGTTGTTTTGAGGGGAGGCTTTGGCTGTATGCCTAGAGCAGTGTTTCCCAACCTTTTTTGGGCAAAGGCACACTTGTTTCATGAAAAAAATCTCGAGGCACACCACAGCCCCGTGACGTCAGCGCGCAGCGTCACGCCGGGAGGGACGCACGAAAGTGTAAGTTTCAATTCCCCCCCCCTTGCCTTCCTTCTGTGCCAACCGCCAAAAAGCCAGGTTTGACCCCCTTCTCACACCTGTTCGCGCTCCTTGCACAGAATGGGGCGGATGGGGAGGAACGGGGCTCGCCGCTGCCTCCGCTCGCCCTCCCCCCCTCCGCCGGCGGTCCCGCGATTCTTGGCTTTTTGGCGGTTGGCACAGAAGGAAGGCAAGGGGGGGGATTGAAACTTACACTTTCGTGCGTCCCTCCCGGCGTGACGCTGCGCGCTGACGTCACGGGGCTGTGGTGTGCCTCGAGATTTTTTTCATGAAACAAGTGTGCCTTTGCCCAAAAAAGGTTGGGAAACACTGGCCTAGAGGTTGTCATTGCTCTCCCCTGCGACTGTGGCGTAACGGGGGTGGGCTCTCTCTGCTTGAACATATGTTCTCCAGAGCCAGCCCATCTCCCCCCCACACTCTGGATAACCCTGATGTTCCCCAGATCCCTGGTGGGGGACTGGGAGGGATAAACGCCCAATGCCTGAGCCAAGGTCTATTCACATCTGAAACATAATAAAGTTGTGGCCAATTTTAATCCCATAACACGTTGTCTTGAGTTGTTATTCCACACGGGGGCTGCCCAGGGTTTGGGGGACTCCGCCTGTCCACGCAATAGGTCCAGCTGGTGAGCCAAGCAGTGAGATAGCAAAACTTGGGATGGGGGTGAAGAGTTCAATGTAAGTTATCAAATGTGACACAAAGCAAGCAGAATGGGGAAGAAAGAAACAATTTAAAACCTTAAATTTCTAACAGTAAGGGCTGAAGCCGACTTCCTTGGAAGGTGGTGGACTCTCCTTCATTGGAGGTATTTAAGCAGAGGTTGGATAGATGTCATGGATGCTTTAGCTGAGATTCCTGCATTGCAGGGGGTTGGACTAGATGACCCTCAGGGTTCCTTCCAACTTTCTATGATTCTTTGAAAACTGGCACCTTGAACCCAGAATCAAGATGGCAACTATTAGGTAATATACTTTTAAAGTCGTATTCGTGTCATGTCCTTCATGTGCAGCAAACTTGGAACTATTCCATTTTATCTTAACAACAGCCAGTGATAATTGCTAACAATTTATGCCTTCCACCAGGAACCATTCTTATAAAATGTTGATCTATAGACTATAGTATTGAACTAGGTTCATGGAAAACCTTGATGCACACACAAAAACCAAGCTATTTTTACAAATGGGATTTTCCACTTCCTTATGTAAATTCATGTTTTTGGTTTTTGAATTTCAGGTAAATGTTTTATTGGTTACTAGTATGGTGAATCTTCTGCACCAGCCAGAAATCAGCATAGGGTCTTATTTGTTCTGCACCTACTAGCCAATAGCTTTTGGTAATGGATATAGGCCAAGGGATTACCAGTGCTATAAAAAAGCAAAAACGAAGAGGTTCCAAGAAAAAAAGGTGAATATGGTACTATATTAAGATTCAACATATTAACTTTTAAATTATCCTTTTGGGTTTATCTGCATGTAACTTTGAAAACATTTTTTTAGTTATGCACCCTTATATGCCTCATTGTCACACTTCTAAAAAGAAATGGGTTGGGTGCAAGTCTAACTTGATCATTTTCTAAGTCTTTAAGCCTTTTCTGCTATTTGTAGATTTGTGAAAGCTGACGGTGGGTATTCAGCAAGAAGTTTCACTCCTCTCAGCACGTTATAAAAGGCACCCCCTTTCTCATTATTTCATATGTCCATATACTGAGCCCTAAAGCAATCCCGAAAATCACAATAAATATACCCCCCCCCCGCCCCACAGCTAAAAAACCAATGCTGAAAGTATCACATAATGTCTAGTGTAGGCTCCTGCAAACAAAAATTAGTTAAAATTTTAATTCCTAGTAAAATCAGATTAAGGCTTTATTTTTGAAAAACCTCTTAATTAGAAATATGCATTTTTTCTAGGCACTTTAGTAGTTTGTTTTGTAGAAGTTTGTGGGCAGGGGGGGGTACTTTCTGGCATGCTAGGCTCACTGGGATCAGTGCGTTCTAATGCTTAAGGCAGGAATGTACTTAGCTCTCAGGAACTTTTAACTAGCCTGTATCCAGAAGAGACCTCAGTTACAGTTCCTGCCTTCTGCTCAAGGCAATAGCTTGGCAGTCTTTCCAGCATTCCTGCAGTCAGGCATGTGTTTCTTGTGTGCTTGGGATCCTGCAGACTGTTTGCTGTGTTTTGTTGGTGTGCCTGCTTGTCTTTTGCTCCAAATTGTGCATTTTAGTTCCCCTCAGGAAGGAACATATTTGTTCTTGCGATTGTTAGAGCTGGCTACTGGAAGCCAAAGCTACGTTGCTGATTTTGCAGTTAAATTATGTTTGATGTGTTAACCTTTAACTTCTATTTTCTGATTGTTAACTGCCAGCAAAGTAAACCCAGCATTCGTTTTGAGATTCCATCTGGGGTCCCCCCCCGCATTAGTCATCACTTCTGTTGTATATGTGTAACATATAAGCTGTGTTGCACGCCACCTCAATCTCTGAGCGATGTGACATTCCTGGATTTCCAGGTGCTCATCTTGGTTCATGTTTCCTTTTGGAAATAGGGCACAGTGGAGACTTTGGTGTCTCTATGATATCTGGTTTATTTACACACATGTACAACCTGAGCTTATGGTGGATGGGTTCACAGCATCAACACCCAATAGGAGCTTGTGTCTCCCATAGCCACAGCCTTGGATTCAAACAAAAATCAAACATTGCTTTCTGACCCTCTGCTTGCTTCTTCCCACCTCCCCACCCAAATTCTGACCTAAAAAAACTCAGGCTTTTCCCCATTTAACCATCTATGGACCATTATTTGTCCTCTATCCCCTTAATGGCCCATCCCCCAGGCAATGACCTCATGAGGAATCTAGCCTGGTTTATATTGCTAGGATAATATGGAGTAGAAGTCTGACGCCCACAAACTCATAACAGATGCAAGATATAAGATGACCTAGTTTCTGAGGAACCATAATGTAGCCCATAACTCATAATAAAACATGACAATCATGTTATTTGTGATTAGCTGCATTGCCCTTCAGCTGTGAAACCATTTTGAATTAAATGTATAGTTAAACTGGTACTATATTAAATTTATTTGGGATATTTTGCCCTGTGGTAGAATTGCTTGTATATCTTTCTGTTGGTCTTTACACATCTCTGTGAAAAAGGAAGTAATTATCCTACCAACTTTTCTAAATTTCATGTATATTTTAGTATGTCAGACTAAACATGTGATGGGGGGGAATATTCCATGATCTAGCAAGGAGCAAAAGCTGTCAAAAGCAGGCATTTGTATGGTTTGCCCTTCTAGTTTAAGTGTGTGCATACAAAATAATATGCAGGGGAGAAACTCCTGCATTTATTACCCAAAATATTACATATTTTCCAGAACATTTTAATTTTTTAAAAATAATTTTAATTAAATTTTCAAATTTTACATCTCAAAATGAACATCTTGCATTACAGTCAACAACTTCCCTCCCTCCCCTTCCAAGGTTCTTTTAATTTGCCCACCATTCCTGCATATTTTTGTATAGTCATCTAATTCAGTTCTCCCATCTTACATCCCTTTTAAATATGTTATACTGTTGAATTTACCTTAATACTCCCAGCGTTTTCAACTGTACACATTTTCTACATACTCAGCAAAAAATGTCCACTCTTTAAATACCTATTCTTCTTGCTCTCTTATTCTACTTGTTAGACCTACTAACTATGCATATTCTATCATCTTAAATTGCCAGTCCTCCTTGATAGGCACCTCCCTCACCTTCCATTTTTGGGCTAACAAGACCCAAGCCACCGTTGTTATGTACATAAATAAGTTTTTCTGACAACTCGGTACCTCTATCTAAACCATTCCTAATAGGAATGCCTCTTGGTTTTTTTGAGGGGAGGTGTTTTAAACATTTTTTTCATCTCATTATATATCATCTCCCAATATTCTTTAACTTTTTTGCATGCCCATCACATTTGGAAAAAAAAAGGTTCCTTCCATTTCTTTACATTTCCAGCACAAATCCAATTTTGCTTTATACATCTTAGCTAGTCTGCTCGGGGTTAGATACCATCTATTAATCATTTTCATGTAGTTTCTCTTTCTTTTTCAGAACATTTTTAGGCCTGCTTTGCCCTATAAGCAATCATGGCTGAAAGCTATATTAAAATTTAGAGTCATGGGAAAACAAAAGTACACCCTCTTTCAATTCTGTGGTTTTACATATTAGGACATAATAAAAATTTTCTGTTCCTTAGTAAGTCTTAAAATTAGGTGAATGCAACCTCAGATGAGCAACAACACATGACATATTACACTGTGTCATGATTTATTTAACAGAAATAAAGCCAACATGGAGATGCTATTGTTCCATCATGTTAAATGTGGTTTCTCTTCCGTTTTCACAAACTGCATTGTAGTATATTTCTTACCTAATTCAAATTTCTATTTCATTATTGTGAAGATTAACTTTTGAAGATGAGGTGCCTAGAATTGAAGAGCATTTAAAACCAAAGGATATATCACCTCAAGTGTAAGTACATACATACATACATATATTGTCTCTGGAGATCTGTCTCAAATAGAATCTAAAATTTGTAGCATATGAGCACCATTGCCACTTTAATGAGTCTTGTATACCAAATATGTTTTAATTCTGTTTTGCTAGCATTTTTGTGCCTGAACACAACTTTTCCACTCCAAAAAAGGGGTGCTTTGGTTATTTATTTGTTTGGGTTCACATACTATATAAAAACTTGCATTATTTCAAATTTTTTTGTTTTTGTTTTTCCACTTGAATTTTAGAACTTTGAGTGCAATGTGGCCAGTGGAAATAGGTATGCTTCAGTCAGTACCATTTTCCCAGTGCTGTTTATGTATGTCTCTAATAAATTATTCTTCCTGTTGCAGATTTATAGGAAAGGGCACTGCCTTTCTTTCTTTTGGCTTCAGATTAATTAAGAGCTACACCCAGCAAGGTTTAGATATCATTGGAGGTAAGAAGATGTAAATTCTACCCAGTTAAAGATAAAACACCTATAGAAACATTAGGATCCACCTCCCCTTTCTTCTGTGTATCTCAGTATCTTTCCAGTCATATAAATCTAGAAATGTTGTTTGAAATCATGGCCTAAAACCATTTTCTTCACAATTCCTTTTAGCAACGTATTCTAACAGGAGCAAACGACTGGTGTTGTTAGATGGGAAAGGATTTTTCAGTCTGGATTTGCTTCCTACTAATCTTTCTGGTAAGGTAAATCTATAGTCTGCTTTCAATTTCATTTCACATTTGTGTGTACTTTCAGAAGGAAGAATTAAACAAAGTACCAAATAGTGTGCCCACTAGGAGCTTTATGCCAGCCTCTGCCACTTCACATTTGATTAGTGTCTCTAATAATCTGTCTTTTTTTTTAAAAAAAACTATTTTTCTGATGACATTCGGCAATATTCAACAAGTAATTGTGCAATGAGTTTCCCTTGTGTGTGTCGTACTGCAGGGGGTTGGGTTGAGAGAAACCCTACAACAGAATTAGGAGGGCTGGGGTGGGGTGAGGAAACCCGTTGTGTGATGAGAAATCCTTGAGTTGACAGAATGCCGTCTTAGTGCTACATTGAATTCCACCTTTAATGGTTTTGTTTTCAAGTGTATTTTCATTTTGTGTCAGTCCTTTTGATCAAGTAGCCCAGATTTCTCTCTTTTTTAAAAAAGGAAACAGAACATTAATTTCAGCATTAATGTTATTTTTTGATCAAAGTAAGTATTAGATGTTTTGTTTATTTTCTCTTCCTGTATAGTGTGTGCGTATACATGTCAGTAGTACTGCATGTGAGGGATGTCAGTTTGCATTTCTTAGTGCAGAAAGTATTGATCTGATGTCTAGAGATCTTTCCTATTCTATTTACGGTAATTCAAGAGGGTTCTGGAAGCTTCTCTGTGTGAAAGAAGCAAGCAGAAGGTTCATGGTGTTTGGGTTATTTCTTCAGAGAAGCTGAGGACAGATGGTTTAATCTGGTTCTCTTATCTCTTCTGTCAAAGGTCATGCTGACTATATGAGTAAGGCCTGGGTTTTACTTTCTCTGTCTATCTTTTTGTTCTGGTGTGATATTCTGTTCTGTATATAGTGTTAAGGTTTAGTCTTGTTATAAGTTCTTGTTAGTTTAAGATTAATCTGCTGCAACAGACAGTGCCACTCCTAAATGTATTGGATTTGTGACCTTTATGCTCATTTGCCTTCAGTAACAATAAAGCTCTGCTGGATGAAGTACAATTGCCTCTGGTCTATTTTTGGGAACCCTGCAACATGTTTTAAGTTTTTCCTCCACACGCACAGCCCTGGAACCACCCTCCTGACACCTACGCCACTGCTCCTTATCTTTACCAAGCTGGGGTGCTGCCAAGGAAGGTCAGGGCTGCGCAGCTGAACCAATGGGAACACTGGAGTGTACAGCCACATGGCTCTGACCTTGCCCCAGCCTGGTCCAGGTGACAATGGTGCCAGGAATGTGGTTATCCGGCTCTTCCTCACTTCTCTCTCTCTCTGGTGGTTGCATTCTGTAACATGTCATTGACACAATAATAGCACATTAGTGGTGGATTTATACTGGACTGCACAGACATCATTCCACTTTATTACTTGTTCTGCGATGTTTCCCTAATATCACATTACTGCCGTCTGGAAGGGCAGCACAGCAAAAGTGGAGCTAAATAAATAAATAATTGGAACATTGTGCAGTATGAAAAGTTACAGGATTTCAGCAGGAAGTCACAGCCCTGTGTGTGTACATGCAGGTCCCACAATCTGTCCACTCACAATATGGAAATTCACCTATCCAAATGTAAAGAATTGTGTCCACACCTCACTATACACTCTGCAGATTTAGCCCCCTTCCTTACTTACTTCCTTCCTTCCTTGCTTGTTTGTGGTTGCTGGGCAGTGGCAGCCATTTTGGGGAAGAAACCATGCAGGGAGGGAGCAAGATCAGATACAGTCATAGAATCATAGAATTGTAGAGTTCGAAGGGACCCTGAGAGTCGTCTAGTCCAATGCCCTGCAATTCAGGAATCTAAACTAAAGCAAAGGAAAGCAGGAGAGATCTGACAGATCATTTTTTCCTTTGTCTCTCTTTTGATGGTTGGCTGCAGCCAAACCAGGAACAAACCATAGAGAGAGATTGGGCAACTCCCAGTTTAGAAATGTTCCCATAGGAAACAATGGTAATTATGGACTCATTATGCTAATGCTTGTCTAATGAACAATTTCCAGGGAACACATTGTGTTCAGTAAACTGGACTAGCATTTATCTTAATCTGTTCTTTGAGGTCTCCTAGCTGAGGAGCCATTTATATTGATAAATCTGCTCTATTCAGTGCCCAAAACCCTTTTCCATTTCTGTTCTGCTAGATACAAAGCATGAAATTGTTCATAATCCTATGCCAACTCAAGTTAGTCATGTTAAATATAATTTTAAATATTTCTTCTATTGAATTGTAGAATATGACTTCTCTACTGATTTTAATGACTATCTTCTGAGTAGTTCCATTGAAGATGGAGCCAATAGTATAAAACAGTTGGATTAGCTGAGCTTGTATTCAACTACTTGCCAGGAAGACATAGCAAACCAGAAATTCTATGCAGATGATTGAATGGACTGGTGGAAGAAGACAGATCTTGCCACCTCTCCTCTGCAGATCTACTTGGTGGAAGGCTAGTTAGAAAAACCTGCCTGCTAAGTGGTAGCACCTTTGCTGGCTGCAGAGGAGAATACTTCCCTTTCTCTGTAGCCAGCATGGAAACACATGCTAGTACTGTAGTGCCTTTGCAGCTTGTTTCCATCACCCTCTCCCTATCTAGTAATGTTTGTGGATTTATTTACAAGGCTAGATTAGATTCCCAAATAATAATTATTATTATGTAAAAAATCTTGTCTGTGTTCAACTTTTCAGTTAGAAGAGAGTTGGAGTTTCCAAAGTCTCAGCTCAGCTCAGCAAGAATCATCACTTACTCTGAAAAGTATAATGTCTACTTTGTTCTGCAAAAAGATTTCTCAATTAAGGTAAAATTGTGTTTTGTCATTCTTGGTACAAGTGTTTTTTTTTTCCTCATGAGAAGAGAAACGATTTGCAGATTCTGGCAGCAAAGTAATAGGACTTCAGTATTTCCCTGTTAGGGAAGATTTGCGCAGCATGTGAGCACATGGAACTAGCTATATGTCACTTTCAGAGAAGTGTAACAGAGCCCAAGTATAACTGCCCCCACCACTTAATGGATCCAAATGGTTTCCAGAGAGTTGTAGGGGATGTTTTATCCCACGTTGATGTCCTTTCAGCTGATTCCCTAGTGGCCCACTGGAATGTGGAGTTAACCAGGGCTATTGACTGTTTGGCTCCGAAGTGCCCTCTCCGATTGCATGGAGCCTAGACAGCCCCGTGGTTTTCCATGGATCTAAGGGCAATGAAACAATTGCTGAGACGGCTAGAGTGCTGGTGGCTGATAACTCATTCTGAATCTGACCGGACACGGGTTAGAGCTCAGTGTCGAGCCTACCAAGTGACGATAGCGATGGCGAAGAAGACCTTCTTCACCGCCTCTGTTGCATCTGCGGAAAACAGCAGCAGGAGACTTTTTCAGGTGGTTTGCAATTTAGCAGAACCACCTGCTCCATCGGGGCCCAGTACGGGCCACATGATCTCCTGCAATGATTTTGCAAAGTTTTTTTGCAGATAAAGTCGCTCAGATTTGGAAAGAGGTAGACTCTACCGTGGGAGCAGGGCCAGGGCGGGAGAGTTGTAGATTCCTGTCTAGTTAAGTTGCATGGGATCAATTCCAATCTGTTACCTTCAAGGATGTGGACAGGCTGCTTGGACAAGTGAAACCAACCACCTGTCTCCTTGATCGTTGCCCATCCTGGCTTATAAAAGCTAGCTGGGAAGGGCTGGGCAATGGGTTTCGTGGGGTGGTGAATGCTTCTCTCTGTGAGGGAGCCTTCCCAGTCCCACTGAAAAAGACGGTTATCAAACTGCTTCTTAAAAAACCATCTTTAGATGCGGCCAATATGGCCAACTATCGCCCAGTGTCACATCTTCCATTCTTGGGTAAGGCGATTGAGCAAGTGGTTGCTGAACAATTCCAGGCACGCCTGGAAGAAGCGGACCATTTGGATCCCTTCCAGTCAGGATTCAGGCCTCATCATGGGACTGAAACTGCCTTGGTCGCACTGGTTGCTGATCTCCGGCGGGCTAGGGACAAAGATGAGAGCTGTTTCCTAGTTCTGCTGGATCTCTCTGTGGCTTTTGACACCATCAACCATAACATCCTTCTGGACCATCTAGAGGGACCGGGAGCAGCCGCCAAGACCATTTAACACCGGTCTTGAAAGACCTACATTGGCTCCCAGTACGTTTCCGAGCACAATTCAAAGTGTTGGTGCTGGCCTTTAAAGCCCTAAACGGCCTCAGTCCAGTATACCTGAAGGAGCATCTCCACCCCCATCATTCTACCTGGACACTGAGGTCCAGCTCTGAGGGCCTTCTGGCGGTTCCCTCACTGCGAGAAGCCAAGTTACAGGGAACCAGGTAGAGGGCCTTCTCAGTGCTGGCACCCATCCTGTGGAACGTCCTCCCACTAGATGTCAAAGAGAACAACTACCAGGCTTTTAGAAGACATCTGAAGGCAGCCCTGTTTAGGGCAGCTTTTAATGTTTGATGGATTACTGTATTTTAATATTTTGTTGGAAGCCGCCAAGAGTGGGTGCGGAAGCCCAGCCAGATGGGCAAGGTATAAATTATTATTATTATTATTATTATTATTATTATTATTATTATTATCATCATTTTAAAGTTCAAAGCAGCTTGGGGAGAAGGGAGTTCTGAGTGAAGAAACTGGGTGTTCAAAGGGTTAAGTGCTCCACTTCCATGTGCAACATCTTGGCTTTAAATTATTCACTTTCAAAGCCACATTTCACTTTCAAAAGCAGTGTTGAAGCTCAGTTGCATGCCTTTGCATGTGACATATGAAAACTGTTGTCTGCTTGAGCTGCCCCTATCTACCTGAAACTCCAGTTTTTTAGTAGCTGTACCTGGTAATCTACTGTCTCTGCTTGTGCATCCCCCCCCCCTTTTTCCCTTTGCCTGTTTGGGGAGATTTTGTGGGTGCCTTCTAAACATTTACAGAGCAATCCTAATTATAGGAAGCCAGTGTAATTTAGGCTAGCATAACTCAGATCCACATAAACTATCCCATTCCAAACTCCATTCAGGAGCTTTTGGCAAGGGCTAATGCCAAGTAGGACGCGGGTGGCGCTGTGGGTAAAAGCCTCAGCGCCTAGGGCTTGCCGATCAAAAGGTTGGCGGTTCGAATCCCCGCGGCGGGGTGCGCTCCCGCTGCTCGGTCCCAGCGCCTGCCAACCTAGCAGTTCGAAAGCACCCCCGGGTGCAAGTAGATAAATAGGGACCGCTTACCAGCGGGAAGGTAAACGGCGTTCCGTGTGCTGCGCTGGCTCGCCAGATGCAGCTTTGTCACGCTGGCCACGTGACCCGGAAGTGTCTTCGGACAGCGCTGGCCCCCGGCCTCTTGAGTGAGATGGGTGCACAACCCAGAGTCTGTCAAGACTGGCCCGTACGGGCAGGGGTACCTTTACCTTTACCTTTAATGCCAAGTGTAGGGGACCAAGCTTTGAGGTGTGAGCCCTGAGTCACATGACCAAGCTGAACAGGGTTTGGAATAGGTATAAGTCTCTCTTTGCCCCAACCTGCGCCTGCTCCTCCTCTGGAATGTCCCTTTTAGTTCAGCAACATCTGGCAGACCAAAGGCTTCCCACACCTGCCTTAGCACATTAGCAGGTAAGGCTTAGTCATACTGGCCACATGACTCGGAAGCTGTCTCTAGACAAACACCGGCTCCCTCAGCTTATAGAGCGAGATGAGCGCACAACCCCAGAGTCGTCCATGACTGGACCTAATGGTCAGGGGTACCTTTACCTTTTACCTTTAAGCTTTACTGAATCAGCGGGCACTACTCTTGAGTAAGCATGCTTAGGATAGCAGTGGCAGTTTTGCTCTGTAACCAAAAACATGGGCATCCCATTTCCTTTTTCATTCAGTTCAGAGACACTGTTGCAAAGCTAATGAATACAAGCATACAGCAGTCACAAAATAGCCTTTAAAGAGGTTCTGACACTGATGCTTCTGTGAGGATAGGAATGAGACAGGTACACGAGATGCTAGAATCTTCAACATTGCTTATTACTTTGGTAATCCAGACAGCATTTTTTGTCAACTCTTCCATATCTGAGCTCATCAATCTGGTTTGCCTGTCACAGCAAGCCAAACCATAGCGTTGTTGGATGTTGTTCAAAATTCACAGTTTGAAAATTACCTTATTTTTCTGTGTATAAGACTAGGGTTTTTCCCTAAAAAATAATGTCCAAAATTTGGGGGCGTCTTATACATGGATAGATCTTCCCCCATTTTCTTAAATTGGAGTCCCCAAAAATACATGAGGACGTCTTATGACGGAAAAATACAGTATATATGTATCAGGAGACATATTGTCTCAGAACTATGCAGAATGTTGCTTTCTTTTGGGTTGTGAGAAGAAACAGGTTAAAAGTATATACGTATTATAAACTTAGGGAAAGATTTAGGATTCTTGATAATGTTTGATATTTTGGAGAATATCTGGACAGGGAGTCATAATTGTTCATTGTACACCAGTATAAAAGAAAATTCTTTTATAGTAATAACCAGATGATACATGACAACAAAAAAGTTCCATAAAACGTGAATCTAATACTGAAAGGGGTTTCCCCCCTCATTTATGGTGAAAGCATGAGAACACAAATAAATTTTGGATACAAATTAAACAGGCCATGGAAATAATAATGCAGAAATAGTAATAATACTAAATTATAATGCAGTAATGGTAATAATATTAAATTAAAATGCAGAAATAATAATAATAATAATTTAGAACCCGCTTTATTTTTACTGACAAGGAAAGAAAGTATGTGCACATTAAAAAGAGTTAACTTTAGATGTAATTTGAAATGTTGTAAAATACAAGATCTTTGACATCAGTATTTGTTTTTTTAAGGTTTACAACAAGGATTATAATGAGACTTGTTCAGTAGAAAATCCAGGTTTTGGACGGTTAACCTTTCTATCATTCAACCCAGTGAGAGATGAACTCATCGGTGGAGGAATCATGGGAGTAAAGGTACTGCCATTGCCATTTTATTTATAAGCCACATTTTCCCACAAATAAATCTGTGCTCACAGTCACAGAAAAAAATCAAAATACAACAACAATACATAGTAAGCCATATAGTAACAATGCAACATAACACACACAAACAAATCGCCAGCAATTAACAGTTCATTTGACCTAAACATTTAAATAAACATACACATTACTAATAGATCAAGTCAAAACACATATTAAACAACAGTTGGTCTACTGGCAGCTGTTCCCTTCTGAAGGCTTTTAAGGCTGGATGGAGGCACAAGACTAGTAGAGATAGTCATCCTCTGATGTCCAACACAGAGTCTTTCACCCCTCACAGTTATTCCTCTGGAAACAGCTCCCTTCTGAAGGGATGTAAAAACAATACAGAGGCCTAGGCAAAGTGGGTAGTAAAATTCAAAAATGACCTGGGCAAAAGAGAGGCTAGCCTTCTCCCCGCATGGTACCTGTTTTGTAACTAGCCAGACTCAGCCATAGAAATGCCGTTTTGTGGTGGGTGCCCATGGTGTTTTCCAAATCTGCCTGCAGGCCCAATAAGTTTGGCAAACCCTGCTTTTTTGTTTGTTGGTTTGTTTATTATTTGAATAGTCAAGTTCATGATTCCATGGCAGCTTACAACACTGGATACTTTCAGACATAAACGAAACAATCCTTGTAACATTTTAGACAGAAGGCATCTTGGAAGATGGTGAATCGCATCAACTCCGTAAAGAGGTGTGCTGAAAGCATTGTTGCCAGTCAGTATTCAGCAGAGTGGACATTCTATAGGTGCATGAACACTAGAATTATGTTTTCCTGTGTTAAGTTTGAAGGCATGACGCCAAATTAATGTAACTTGGAAGCTGCATATTTAGGGGTACTGATCAGGAAAATCAGGATATATGAGGCCTCTTATTTTGTGAATCACTCACTGGAATCCAGATTTTATCAGTTATATGTATATGCATTATTATTCCATGGACACTTGTATTATGTCACTTGGTGGATGGCAAATCATGCAAAAACTATTGAACTATTGAACAATTAATATTGATTTCTGATCCACATAAATATTTATTATTCTTTTTCTACTGAATTACTGAATTAGGTGGATTCAGTTGAGGAAGAAGAAGAAAAATTTAGTGCTTGTTTGGTACAGAAACCTGTAAAGCTATCATTGCAGCTCTCTGATGAATATTTTGCCTGCTAATAAAAGATTTCTGAGAATAGATTTTTTTGGTGGGGTTCATTACTTATACAGTGGTACCTCAGGTTAAGTACTTAATTCATTCCGGAGGTCCATTCTTAACCTGAAACTGTTCTTAACCTGAAGCACCACTTTAGCTAATGGGGCCTCCTGCTGCTGTCGCGCCACCGGAGCACAATTTCTGTTCTTATCCTGAAGCAAAGTTCTTAACCTGAAACACTATTTCTGGGTTAGCAGACTGTGTAACCTGAAGCGTATGTAACCTGAAGCGTATGTAACCTGAGGTACCACTGTATAATACATATTGCTATTTTAAAAGAACATGAAGATTTCTTCCGTCTGGTTCTAGCAGTGTCCTTTCTAATAAAAAATAAAATAGTACACTTTCTGAAATGTAAATCCCTTGCCAAAAAGATTTCAATACAGCTCAATCATACGCATATTTACTTGGAGATAAATCTCACAGCATTCCAAGTAAGTGTCCATAGGACTGCAGTCTTAAACTTCTAAATTTCCAACTGATGCTATTTAAGCTTTTCAGCTAAGTTTATAATATTTTCTATTTTAGATTTGGAAGTTTAAAGAAAAGAGGATCTCAGAAGAATCTAACATCTATCCAATGTGCAATTATGGCCTCTTCCCCAGGTACATGATTTTTTTTAAATTTTGGAATGAACATTTAGACTAAACAGTGCAGACTGAGATGCCTGTATATGTGCACCTTATTTCTTTGATGCAACCCATCACAATTTATGTATGTGAGTTGGAATATACAAATATGTGGAAGTATAACTATGAGAAAAGTATCACCCTTTCCATTTGTGATTCAAGCTTTCTGGTGCTCATGGAGCTGCAGCCAAAATATCATCACACAAGCAAAGAGGTATCAGCAGACTCAGAGTAACCTGAGGTTTGCATATATGCAAACATTGTTTAGAATATACATGCGGGAGCAACACCCCTTTTCCCAATAGCCTCATCATAACCATAATAATGTTGAGGGACTGAGAGCAGGGGAAACAGGCAACGGCTTAAGAGAGGAAATGGAATTAAGTTGCTGAAGAGAGGAAAAGACACACATATATATATATATATATATATATATATATATATATATATATATATATTTGCTTTCGTAGATTTTCACGGGTACAGGAATGCAGGTTTTGGTGTCCTCGGGTGTCTTCCCGTGTAAAAGTTGGGGTGTCTAGGCGACGTTTCGACGAGGTCTCACTCGTCATCTTCAGGCTGGTGCTTTCGGCTTCTTGTTACTGGAACCAAAGAACAAGAACTGGAACCAAAGAACAAGAACTGGTTCCAGTAACAAGAAGCCGAAAGCACCAGCCTGAAGATGACGAGTGAGACCTCGTCGAAACGTCGCCTAGACACCCCAACTTTTACACGGGAAGACACCCGAGGACACCAAAACCTGCATATATATATATATATATATATGCTTTCGTAGATTTTCACGGGTACAGGAATGCAGGTTTTGGTGTCCTCGGGTGTCTTCCCGTGTAACGTCTTCCCGTGTAACGTCCTCGTCGAAACGTCGCCTAGACACCCCAACTTTTACACGGGAAGACACCCGAGGACACCAAAACCTGCATATATATATATATATATATAATGAAATCTCTCTCTCTCTCTCTCTCACACACACACACACACACATATATGAGAGAGAAATATATATATATGAGAGAAAAATATCATATTGTCTCAATAGATCAGTTCCTGGTTAATTCTGAGAAGCTATTTTCAAATATGCTTGTGCTAGAAGTGAAAGTTGCCAGTAGACATTAATGGAGAAACCAAAGATTTTATTTCAGCTAGGATCTGACAGATGTGTGTCTACTCCCTCCCCGTCCCCCCCCAAAAAAGTTTACACAAATTCTATTTTAGCTCACAGCTTTACCGATGGAATGAAAATGTTTACTTAGGCTGAAATCCTATACGCTTGCCAAGGATAAGCTCCATTGAGCAGATCTTTTGGCAGGCTTTGGGCAGAGATGTGGAGTGAAGTGTTAGGTGATATTTTGCTGCCAGACTTTTATAGAATGATGAACAATTTAATGCTGATTTTTATTGTTCTGTTGGAGATATTCTTTGTATTATATTTGATTTCAATTATAAAATATTGTTTTATATTTTTATTGTTGTGAAACTTTCTGGGCCTATTGATAAATAAATAATAGAATGCAATACGTTTAGCAGTGTGTGGTTACACCCATGTCTTGGGTCCAGAGTTTTCATGAGCAGATCTTGGTTCATGTGATACTCCAATTGGATGCAGTGGCGTAGCGTGGGTTGTCAGCACCCGGGGCAAGGCAAGTAATTTGCGCCCCCTAACCCGTGGATTTTAGCACTCGAGTGCGAGCGCGCCCCCCCCAGATGTTGCGGCCGGTGTGGCCGGCCCCCCTGCACCCCCCCACGCTACGCCACTGGGGCTGGGGGTGAGCGAAGGAGCCAAGGACCCCCCCAAAAGGCTCAGCAGGAATTTATTAAATTTATTATTTGCGGAGCCCTCGCGGGCCGAGGCAGCCGAAGCCCCCTCCCCTCGGGCGCCTCCCCGCCCCCTCCTCTCGTTGGGCTGTAGGTGGAGCCCGCGCTCTGAGGCGCTCTAGATCCGGGCTTGGCGAGTGCTTCTCCTCCTCCCGGCCGGGTCCGGGGGCTTCCAGCCACGCTCCGTCCTCACGCCCCCCCCCCCGCGGCTAAGACTTGCGCTGAGAGCCGGAGCCAGCGGCGCCCCCTTCCGCCGGGAGACCCTCGCCCGCCCGCCGGCTTCCTCTTGGAGGGTTTTGGGGAGGACAGGGCGCGTTGAGGCCCCTCGGAGCTCTCCTCCCTTCCAGTCGGCAGAAGCAGCCGCCACCTGTGGCTGGGCCGAGGGGATGGCGTCGGCGTCGGGGTGCGGAGGCTGCCCGTGCCCGGCCAGGTGTCGGTGTCGGCACTGCTGCAGCGGCTGCTCCTCCTGCGAGCAGTGAGTGGAGCGCAGCCGCAGCAGCGGCGGGGGGCGCGCACGTGCTAGGGCGCAAGGCTGGCGGTGGCGGCGGGGAGCCCGGCGGAGGAAGGAACTTGTCCCTTCCCTCTGGACTCGCGCCCCCCCAGATGTTGCGCCCGGTGCGGCCGGCACCCCTGGCACCCCCCACACTACGCCACTGATTGGATGGAGGAAGGGAGGAGGTGGTTTTTGCTGATTCCTTCTTCCCTCTGTAGCCCCTGGTGATGCTTGGAAAACTGTGCTGGAGGGTTGAGGAAGTGACCCTGGCTCCTGCAGCTAAAAAGGAGAATTTGTGTGACTTGCTTCTTTCCTTCCGCCATTGGATCTCAGTGTCCTTTCCACAAACAGAAGCAGCCCTTCCATTTGTAGAAGTCACACATTGGATCCAGCCATATATTTATTGCTCAGTAGTGACAGTTCATATAAAACATCTGGTTCTAGCAGATTTTCTCTTTTTATCAGATTCAAATAATTCCCACAGTATTTTCACATTGCTATGTTTTATTTATGTGTATATATATTTAATGCAGTAGAGAATATCCACACATGGGGAAAAGGTGGTGCACAAATATGGATTTTGATGTCCTTATGCAAAGATACTACTGCTTTTCTGAATGCCATTTCACCTGCTACAACATCAACGGGAAAATGCTATTCGAGATACCAAATGCACATACAACCGAAATTACCTCTTGTGTCTACTCATCTGACGTTAACGTTTTGGTTACTTCCTGCAAAGGCAATGAAAGTAAGTTGTGCCAGAGAAGCTGCAAATAATCCAATGTTATCTTCATACTTATCTCCTTATTTTATGGCACATTTTATTGCTGTTAAGAAAAAAAAAATCAAGGGTTTAAATCTCCAATTACTGTTAATTTAAATGTGAAATTTGTAGGAATACTTATTTAAAATACTTTTATCTTGCCCTTTATCATCACTGATTTCTGGAGGGGTACATGCAGTAAATTCATAAAATTAAACTTTAGCAGAAATACAATACAGTACTTAAATGACAGCAACTAAAATACCATGGTTAAAAAATATTCTTTATAACAGCAGGGCAGACTTCATCCTTCCAATCTGAAGCTTTGAAACTTATAACCAGCAGAACCCTGGGCAAATCCATAAGTTTTCAGTTGGCACCAACCTTGGCAGACGGGCTGCCACCACAGAGCAGGCTGCTTACCGCATCACTGCATAATGAACTTTTCGTCAGAAGAGACCCCAAAAGGGCCTCTGACAATCACAATGCATGATTTAACTAGTACAGGAGGCACTTCTTCAACCAAATTAATACATTTCATGTATTATTTTATACATCATTTAAACCATCCACATCCTGCCTTTCCTTCAAAGTGCTCAGGATGGCTGCCAATAAATATAAATCCACAAGTTACCAATGAAAAGTTTGTTAAAGCAGCAGCAAGAAATAAGGAAGAGTTTAATGAAATACAAGCTTCCACACAAGAAAGCCAGAAACTTAATGGGGACAGTGGATGATAGATCACAAGGTGCAATGTAGCCTGCACTATCTCCACATGGAATTACCAATGGTAGATCGTACAAAAATAACTAGATGCACTCTTAGAAAGGTAAATAGGCCCTGAATTGGCTCTGATTCTATTGCTCATGGAGCCAGAAGACACTATGGTCACACTTGCCAATCCAGGAAAACTGTTTTCTTGCTGCTGTGACTACTCTGCTAACAATGGAATTTATAATTTGGTGGGATAAAACATTTCTCTTTAGTCCAAGTTCTCAGTTTTGATGCAGTCATGAAGAGATCAGTTATGGAAGTATAGATTCCGCACCCCCCACAAAAAAAGTTAAGACAAGAATTTTGGAGTTCATGAGTCACAAGCTGTTAACTCTTCAGAGGAATACTTAGTACCAAATCAGTAATGGATTTATAAGCAGGCCAGATTTGTCTGTTGGATTTTAGAACTATCTCCTACTTATATTAGGGGACGCGGGTGGCGCTGTGGGTAAAACCTCAGTGCCTAGGACTTGCTGATCGCAAGGTCGGCGGTTCGAATCCCCACGGCGGGGTGAGCTCCCGTCATTCGGTCCCAGCTCCTGCCCACCTAGCAGTTCGAAAGCACCCCTAAGTGCAAGTAGATAAATAGGTACCGCTTTATAGCGGGAAGGTAAACGGCGTTTCCGTGTGCTGCGCTGGTGCTGGCTCGCCAGAGCAGCTTCGTCACGCTGGCCACGTGACCCAGAAGTGTCTTCGGACGGCGACGGCGCCCGGCCTCTTAAGTGAGATGAGCGCACAACCCTAGAGTCGGTCACGACTGGCCCGTACGGGCAGGGGTACCTTTACCTTTACCTTTTACTACTTATATGAGATATAGACCTCCTGCAGCATTCACTAATTGGGACTTCAGATTTGGAGATTGTTATCAGTAGAATTTAAAACTGGATGTTTGCAGATAGAATTATTTGGGCCTATGGCTTAGATCCAAGAAAGATATTGCAATGATAAAGCCAGACTAGATGTCACTCAGGTCTCTTTCAGCTTTAGAATTTTATGACCTTACATTGTGTTTGTTAAAACTACTGGAGAGTAATTTGCAGATATAGAGTTGGATCAAAGTCTTTGTACAATGTACAGAAGGAGTTTCTACCAAATCTCTTTCTCTGCACTTCTCAAAACCCAAGCTACTTAAATCCCAAAACCCCACTCCTAACTCCTCACACTTTCAGCCAAACCATCCACAACCTTCTAATAAAGTAGTTTATGGAGCTGTCATAAAAAGTAAGGAAGCAAGTCAGATCCCCTCTTTCCCCTTGTAATTCAAGCACTAAACATAGGATAGATCTTGACAGAACAGTGCAAAGCTGGAGACTGGAGTGTCCTCCTTAGCCAAGCAAATAGTGACATGATAGAGCGATCCGGGTGAGTTTCCTTTCACAGAAGTGGAAAGCATATCACACCCTCTCTAACATCCTAAAACTGCAACTGAAGAAGCCGTCATAAAAGGAAGGGGTTGACATACCCAATTTCAAACACTGATTTCAATAACAAATCTGTGGATCCAACTGAATGTAACTGAATTGTTACAGCTTTACTAATTTCGTGTCTTCCTGTTATTCTTTTTACCCAGTAAAATCTTGGAGTGACCAAGGCTCCTTGCTGCACACATTTCAAGGTCATTCGAAAACTGTCACAAAGCTTCTGCTGCACCCAAACTCTTCCTCTTTATTTATCTCTGGATCTCTAGATGGATCAGTCAAACTCTGGTCATTTGATACAATGGACATTTTTTACAGGTAGTTTAAACAAGGTAGTACTCCCTAATTTATAAATATATGGGTTTATATCTGGAGGTGGAAGGGTACCTTTGCATCCAGTTCATACATTTTACACACTAGGAGGTTGACTAGCATTTCATAAAGCTTCTAAAATACTAATGTTGTAATCCTATGTACACTTACTTGGGAATAAGCTCCATTGAACTCACTGGAATTGATGTCTGAGTGAACATGTATAGGATTATACTATGAATTTGTTTTAAAATTCTCCCCCCTGAATATATTGATTGTCAAAGATATTGTATCACGTACTTTGTACAATTCACTATAAATCGTTCAACAAATTATATAATTATAATGATTTTAAAATGGCTTTTGTAGGGGCTGGTGTTATATATTGCTTATAGAAGCGTTTTTCTGTTATATTTGCATATGATACAAACCGTAATTACCTGTTGTTACAAAGTTCCTTCTTTTTGCTGGCTGTTTGACAAATGTGCCAAACTGACAAATGATGCTGCCCTCATTGACTTAGCATCAGTAGTTGCACATAATGTGGATGATGAGGACAATTTTAATGAATTTGATGTGCTTCCAAGAGTGTCATGTCATGAATTTCAACCATGGACTGGCTGAGTGCAGAGGAGTGGTGGGAGGCACTAGCTGGGGAACCCCCAAGGGAAGAAGGCTCAGAGACAGGGGATTGGTGGTGGAAAGACAATGAGTGACCAGAGGGAGTAGACAGGGAGGAAGAGATATTGGAAGCTAAAGAGGCAACAGGGTTTAGTGAGCAGGAAGAGGCTGTGTCAGAGAGCAGTCCAGAATTAGAGACAGAAGCAGAGGCTGAGTGGAGGCAGGCTGCTGAAGAAGCCAGAGAATCTCCCCCCTCCTGCTGCGACCAGCTTCCCTCCCCATGGTCCCCCAGAACATGCAGAGAAATGAAGAGGGCGGAGCAAAGAGAAACAAGACAACAGAGCCTTAGGCTACTGGGGAAGGATCCTGGGGAGGATCCTTAGAGAGCAGTGGGAGTACCTTCAGTCCTCAAAACTGCCTCACTGGAGCAAGACCTAGTGGGAAGAGTTGCTGTGGTCACTAGGCCTGCACTGTTTTGGTTTCTTTGAATGAAGAGTTAACTTCACTGACACCAGGTGTTTTATGGCTGATCTACTCCCTAACTCCAGCTCCCAGCACTTTTCTTCAGCTCACATCTGGCCTATAATACCATTCTTTTATATCCAGCATATCACCATTCAAAGAAGGAATACGTTGGATTGGCACAGTGGATGATAATTTTCTGTACTGCTGTTCTCCCCGCAATCTTCATATATATGATCTGAATTCATTTACTACCTTTTGGACTCGTTTCAACAGTCCGATAACTAAACTCTACGTCTGTAGTGCACATGAGAAGTCCAGCAGGGTGGTTGCTATGGGTGCTGACAACAGGTATGTTGAAATGTTGGGATTTCTGTAAAACAGATTTCTTAAAAAGCAAATTCTTACTGTTTCCAGTGTGAACACATTGTGATCCTTCCAAAATAAATATATTACTATCTGGATGATATAACTCTGAAGCAAATGGTTCAGAGTCATTCCATACATATCTACTCAGAAGTAAGCCCCACTGAGTTCAGGAGGACTTATTTCCTGGTAAGTGTGTATTGGACTGTAGCCATAATATCCTTATGCTAGTATCTAAAACCGAAAGCAGTTTCCTAAATAAAGATGACTGCATATATGGGGCCCTTTTATGGCAATGTAAAATAGTTCTTTTTAAAGTGTATACTAGTGTTTCCCAAACTTGGGTCTCTAGCTATTTTTGGGCTACAAGTCCCATCATCCCTAGCTAGCAAGACCAGTGGTAGGGATGATAGGAATTATAGTCCCAAAACAGCTGAAGACCCAAGTTTGGGAAACACTGATGTATGTAATAGTTGACCTATAGTTTTTTGTTTTTAAAAAAATTCTGTTTGCTCTCTGTTTTCTTCCCAAAGTTTAAGAATATTCTCACTTCAAGATGGGGAAACATTATGCACAGTTCTGCCACCTCCTTATCCTCCTCTGATCCAGCCAGTTCTAAGTTTTACCTACAACCGAGCCAGTGGAACTGTTTTCTTCCTCCTGACACCTTCAGAAATATGGGTCTACACAGTAAGGTAATCATGCTAACCGTTTTGCTTGCCATTCCAGTTACTGCATCAATCCAACTCTTACACAAGTGTGGTTCACAATTTGTTCAGCGGGCGAGGAAGCCCTGATGAATAGGAAGACAAAATAACATCTTTTATCGCTTCTGCAGCAACTGCACCAGCTGCCTGTGATCATCTGCACCCAGTTCTAGGTGCTAGTGCTTACAGCCCATCATAGCATCAAATCCATATATCTTACCTGGTCACCTCTTTCCACATTAACTCATTTCTAACTGAGATACTATGACTAAGAGCTACACTGTTTACGTTCTTTGCATTAGATGAAATCAGCAGCAGCAAGAAGCAGGACTTTACAGCCATTAAGAACACAAGAAGAGCCTGCTGGATCTGGTCAGTGGCCCATCCAGGCCAGCATCCTGTTCTTACAGTGGTCAACCAGGTGCCTGTAGGAAACCAAGAAGCAGCACCTGAGCACCAGAACACTCTCCCCTCTGGCAGTTTCCAGCTACTGGTATTCAGAAGCTAGTAACTACTGATGGTCTTATCTTCCATGAATTTGTCTAATCCTCTTTTAAAGCCATCTAAGTTGGTGGTTGTCACTGCCTCCGGTTTGAGTGAGTTCCATAGTTTAACAGTGTGCTGTGTGAAGAAGTGCTTCCTTTCATCTACCCTGAATTGCCCAGCATTCAGCTTCCTTGGATATTCATAAGAACATGGGAGAAAAACTGTTCTCTGTCTACTTTCTCCATGCCATGCATCGTATTATAAGTTTCTATCCTGTAGCCTTCACTCGCCTTTTTTCTAAAGGAACAAGTTCCAATTGCTGCAATCTTTCCTCATTGGGCAGTTGCTATATCCCCTTGATCATCTTGGTTGCCCTTTTCTGAACTTTTTCCAACCCTACAACATCCTTTTTGAGGTGTGGCAACTAGAACTGTGCACAGTGTTTCAAATGCGGTCTCACCATAGATTTGTATGGCATTATGCTATTGTCCCTAAGGCTCTTGAATTATCTCCCTTGGAAGTCAAGACCTGTGAGGCAGGCTACAATCCCAATCCCTCACTGACTGGGGTGGCGATTGATGCGGTAACACAGACAGCACTGTATGCTCCTCAGCCCTACCAATTTGACTAGCCAGGGCAAAAAGGGATGGGTAGGTAAGGAAAATGCCCCTTTGCTGTCCTAACTTCTAGGCAGGCATAGTGGAGAGGCTTAGATTGAGTCTAATTGCTTTCATGTGATAGCAGGACCCAGTAGAGCCTATAGCAGCCAAGCCCCCCTCCCCAAATGCTCCATTTCAGGACTTTTCATTGACAGGGATATCACCAGTGGTAGCTTCTGCCTTCTATTTGGGTAGATGCATTGGTGTGTTTCTCGCTGGTAGGGGCTTCTCTTCTGATAGAGCCAGGCAAGACTGGACACCTCCTCTAGCATGGCAGATCTGGGGTGTAGATTGCTCTTCCTGGCAGTTTGCTAGCTAGAATTGTCTATCTGTCACTGGATGAAGATTGGGGTCACGGGGTAGGGGAAGCTTCCACTTGCAGGTTATTATTGGGGTACAGTAGCAGAGGGCAATTCAGTCAAGCACCATACAACCATGTGGTTGCGGACAGAGTAACAGTGGCGTAGCTTCAGTGCCACTTCTTACCTGTTACAAGCTTTCATCTCCTTCTTTGATTGACTCACATCCATCATGGGTAGCTTTCAACAGAGAATCATTTCACTAGCCACTGCTCTTTATGAACTTTCAAAGCAGCTGTGAATCCCTCTTTTTCCATGTGGTTACTTATTTACTTATTTATTTAGCATATTTGTTATGCACCCTTCACCAAATGGTCCCAAGGTGAGCTACGTATAGCAATAAAGCAGTAACTTAACAATATCATATGTACAATATTAACATGTACATAGAACATTCCTAACAGCCTTAAAAAAAGCAGCTGATGAACAAATGCTAACAGTTCAACATTAAACCTCACCTGGAGGTGAGGCTGGAGTCCTAGAGCCTGACTGAATGCGGGGCTTGACTAAATTATTGTTTTGCTGGCTGCTGAATTATTTTAAATTTCTTGTTTGCTGTAAAAAGTATGCCAGTCTCATTTTATTGTGGTTTTATGTTGTGTTGTGGTACTTTTACATAAACTGCTTTGAGCCAAGGAAATGCAATATTTAAGTGTTTTAAATAAACAAGTTGAGTAGAGTAGGTTAAAGACCAGGCCATTTGTAATTTGAGGCCAAGAATGTGTGTATATAAGGCCCCTTCGGTACTTCTTCAACTGCAGAAACAGAAACAACATGGTGAAGCCTAATGCAAAAGGTGTAGGCTCAATTTACTGTTCCAGTTTACAAGGCACCTCTAGCTTGTGCTTCTCAACTCCACTCATCCAGCCATAGAAGTTGACTCCAGTTCCCTCTGTAAAACCTTTTGTTGCGCCCTTTCAGCTCTTGCCAAAATGGCATTGTCTCACACAATGTGCTCAGTGAATTGTAGCATTTTTGGCTTAAACATGAGCCCTGGTGATTGATAGTAATCATCCACCCTTAATTCCAAAGAATTAGTTTGGATTAACTCTCGAGAGATTTTTCCCCCCTCTTTTGGGTGATGTTAGCAAGTGACATTGGGGATTTTTGAAGCACCTGAAGATTTTACTGTGATTAGGTGCTGAAGGTTTTTAACAGAAGCCAAAAATAAATTTGCTGATGAGTAAGATAAACTTGCATTCTCACCGTAATATTGAAAACAGTTGATTGGTCAGTTGGTATGTGTTGCTACAAGTTAAAAGGTATAGAAAAATGAAATTATATTTTTAATGTTGTTCATTCTAAGGCAAAGAGGCAGTGAAGTGAACATTACCTAAAAATACTGCATTGCTTGTCCATATTGACCGATCTGAGGCACATTTTTAATGGCATTTGATTTGTAGACATCAAAGTCAGGACCTTCTTAAAGATGGTACACAATTTAAGGAATCTGTCCCCAGGGAGACGTTTCATCTGTCCCCATCATAGTTGCATGTTGATAGCTTTTAAATATTTGATTTGTACAGCTTTAACATATTGTTTTATGCTGGTTGCTGTGTACGATGTGTGTGTATTCTTGGTTTCTATATTTTTACTTCTGGATATGAAAGCCACTCTGATTACTTGTTTAAACAATATAACAATAACCTGAAATTAATTAAATGTTCTGGATTTTGAAGAAGGAAATGAAACAACTGAGGATACTTATGCCAGTAGAACATGATAGTGTTATAAATATGTCAACTACCTGTGTCTAATGCTCTGAGGCTAAATATATGTACAGTGGTACCTCAGGTTAAGTACTTAATTTGTTCCGGAGGTCTGTTCTTAACCTGAAACTGTTCTTAACCTGAACCACCACTTTAGCTAATGGGGCCTCCTGCTGACACCTCACCCTGAAGCAAAGTTCTTAACCCGAGGTAATATTTCTGGGTTAACGGAGTCTGTAACCTGACGCGTATGTAACCTGAAGCGTATGTAACCCGAGGTATCACTGTATTTGCAGTAAATTTGACTGAAATCCAGTACTTTTTATGGCATTTTCCATCCTAATATTGGTGCTCTCGTAATTTTTTTTTAAAGTGAATTCTTTAGGACATTACTTGAAAATTGGTTGTCTATAAGTGGAGTTACAGTGCATTCTTTTTGAATAAGTCCTAACTGTAGGCCTATATAATTGTACAATAAAACTGAACGTGTCTCCATAGGGAAAACAAACAGCTGTGTCTTCCCTGTCCACTTTAAGTTCGGTAGAGGACAAACCATAATGCCTGAAATGGCAGGTGTGGGTTTGAATTCAATTAATATGGGATGTCTCCCTTTCTCTGTGTAGATTTCCTCCTCTGCTGATGTGTCATTGCCCAGTTCAGAGGGTTCTTCCTGGCTGGGACAGTGGCACCTTCAGTAATATTAGCACCTCCAGTGATTAACTTCCAAGTACCTGTGATATAGTAGGCCTAGTTCTCATACAAACAGCAGGTAAATAAGTGTCTGGGCTGTGCCATTTCAGACTGCAAGTGGGGGTTCTCATGGGATAACATTCAGGACAGAGTGGCTTGCCTGGTGGGGCAGTGCCGCAACAGTGTTGTTGTTGTTGTTGTTAACATTTCTACACTGCCCTTCATCCAAGGACCACAGGGCAGTTAACAATATAAAATCACAAACAGACATACCATATTAACAAAGAAAAACAATTCAACCCCCACCTGCTGCCCACAGGACACCATAAAGAAGTACCTGGTCCTTTCCCACCACTCCTCCTTCAGGGTCTTCTGTGCTGTTCTCCATGTGTCCCTGAAACTGCTCTTCTAAATAAAGGAAGTACTATGTGCAAAATAATAAATGTTCATCTGTTGTTTTAATGATAGAGGTGTGCATTTTTAAAACATGGCAATCTGTATTATGGCTCTAAAATGGATTAGTAAGAATTGGAAATGAAACTTTGGAACAGTAGATCACACACACCACAACCACTGTAATGTATTTGTGGCAAGTAAACAGTAAACAAAACAATTTCCTTAATTATTATTGCATTTGAGTCTATGTTGTTTAATTGTTGCCGAATCCTTCCTTTGCCCTAAATTCCCAACATCTCAGTATCATTGTGCCTCCATTATACTCCTCTGTCCTTATATCAGGGCAAAAAGGTCTTAGTTTCACATATTCGCTCATAGGACCTAAACTGGTTGTGACTGACCAGGAATGAGACCTTGGGGTCATCGTAGATAGCTCAAGAATGATGTCAACCCAGCAGCTGTGAAAAGGGCAAATTTCCATGCAAAGAACCCTTAGAAAAGAATGAAAAATAAACCTGTGCTAAAAGTTTAGGCTTAAACATTAAGCTTTTAATGTTTAATAGGTTATTGTATTTTAGTGTTTTGTTGGAAGCCGCCCAGAGTGGCTGGGGAAACCCAGCCAGATGGGCGGGGTATAAATAATAAATTATTATTATTAATAATAATATAACAACATTGTTATACAAATC